GTTCAATTTTAGCATGTATTTTCATGTATAAGTGAAAAAAATCTTACATCACTACCACGTTCTTCCTTTGTTTCTGCTATTTAAGGCTACTGTACTCGTTCATAGTTGCACCCTTCCCAAGAGAGGGCAGATATTCAATTAAAAGTGGCCTTTTTAGGTGTCCTTCTGTTTGTTTTTTCCCCTAGGAACTTCAKTGGCAGAGTCACTCACACACTGTGTTTTCTAGCAGCAGGTTGACCTGACACCTCGTAGCTCTACCAAAACCTGCATGAAGGTGTCGAGCACTATCTGGGGCTGTTAAAACCATAGTTTTTAAGTAGCCCCCTTGGTGCTGAAGGCTCTGGGCTAGTGTAGTGGTTGGGGTGGCTCTGAAGGCCCGTGTGGTGGTTGCCCTCAGCATCAAGCCACGAGGAAACAGGGCACGCAAGAGGGCACGGGCAGAACTACAGCCCCATCCGCCCCATTCGGGGCTCTCCTGTCCAGAGCCCGGCTGTAGGAAAGCTGCAGTGCACACGGGTGTCCTTGGAGAGCAGAGCCACCTTGGTGGCGGCWGGCTTCCCCCCTGATCCACTTCTTACCAGCAGAATTTCTTTGGATATAAAAGCTACTRTTTCTCTCCTCTCCTTGAAAACCACAAACTAATACTTAGGTGGTCGCTGGAAAGCATTGTTTGCACATGTGTGCTTTTATTAGTGGTGTTACAGAGATCTTTAAAGCATTTTCTCTGCTAGAACTGCATAAATGAAGGTGTCTGAGCAAGTCACAAGTGCACTTCTGCACAATAAAGTATTATTCAGACMACTTTAAAGTAGTTGTTTCTTTTTTGTCCTTATAACCAGGACACACAAGTTCTTGATGTTATACTGCTTTTATCTGAAATAGTATTTTATGTCAATAAACAACAAAAGAGGAGTGAAAAAAAGAAAGAAATCTGTTAATCTTCAACTAGATTTCTTTTCCAGCTGCCTGAACAAGTTGATTCCAGTGCAGTTTGCACAACTGGGCAGGCCTGCAGGTGGTCAAAAACATTCTGGGTAGGTGGCCATTTAACACAGTGTGAAGTAAAATGAAATACATACTACATTCAAAAGGGATTTTTGACCAGAGTGGTTAAATAAAGACTACTCTTACATGTTTGTTTCTTCCCAAAATCTGAAGTTTCTTATCAATCTGTGGCTTGTTTCTGTTGAATCCCTAGATAGACTGGTGTAATTCAACATGAAGCTTCAGCTCCATAATTTTGTGATGAGCTCATGCAGAAAACATGACTTGGAAATGAGTCATTAAAAATACTTTATAATTAAGTTATGCTGAGGCATCAGCGGAATGCACGAGAGGTTAGCTTTTAAATTTAGGCAATTGTAGAAAGCGAAATATCTGTCATGAAACCTAATAAAACAAGAGGAGGAACAATCATTGGTATTTACAGATGTAAACTGCTATTTAAGTGTAGCAGTATCCACATTAAATAGCAATAAGAGAGGACAAGTGAATGGAGGCTCTATGGGACTATGTACAAGTTCCAAGGCGATGTTTATAAATACTAGATATACAAGAACAGTTCATCTGGACAGAGTTATAATAAAGATACATTAGTGACAGCACCTGTGGATGTTTCCTGCAGAATAACTGAAATATTTGGAAAGAAAGATGACTGTGTTTTGATGGATTATAGGAAGATCACCTTCTACCTGCAAATTAGAGACAGCTGTAGGTAATACCATGAAACCTTGGCCATTAGAAGGAAAAACTATTAAAAAAAAAAAAAAAAAGACTCTCCCAAAGTATCACCAGATGCATAAGATGCATTACTAATGTCAATTATTATCAGTAAGGATAGGGGTGAACTTCAGATCTGTGAAAATGCTTGTTAACTTTTTTGTTTAAAAAAAAAAATCCGCTAAAGTTTAAAGCTTTAAATATAAACTATGTTAAGAATTTTCATTATAAAATCTGAACAGATCACTGAGCCACTCAATTACAAGGTTATAGATATTACTGTATAATAGTTACACAAAGTTATATGACATGGTTCAGTTGAATAATACAAATAATACTTTRTTAATGAGTACTTGAAACGTAAGTTGTTACAGGTGTTATAAACTRTTTTTTCTTTTATGCATGTGTCTATCCTTGCAGCAGTTCACTTTTTTTTTTTTTACACACCTATAGCTTTCAATATTTAACTATTAAAGCTTACCCATGTGTTTTTTGTTTTTGTTTTTTTTTTTGAATTTCAAATGAAACTCGATGAAAAAGGGAATAGTCACAATCCGAAAAATGTATCATAATCCTTTTAAACTTTGGAAGGATGAATGTATATATGCTAAGCTGTGTAATGTTTGAGCATATATTTATGCATCCTTCTGACGAGGAAGGACGTTTAGCATAATGATGACGTATAGGCAAGTATCAGTATATGTTAATGTCTGGCAGCCAGGAGCACTAGATATTTCCTTAGGAAAACAAGAATTAGAAATACTAAATTAGATTAATGTTAAYTGAAGTAAGTAAGCTCACTAATTTAAAGCTTAAATGAACTCCATTAGGCAAAGATTTCTGTGAATTTTGCATGTATATAGTAAGGAAAAAGTACTGTAACAAAGCAGCATGATATATATGGCTTCTGAGAGGGAACCTCCTTTTTTTCTGTAGTAAAGGTTTARTTTTCCTATAGTAAAAAGACTATCCTTAGTCTTTGTACAGTGAAAATGTCATTTTCAAAAGTCTACTTATTACACTTAACAAATATTTTTGCTACGCATACTTTGTCACCATTTACCAATAATTGTCATAAAACACCAGGAAGCGAATGGCAGATTAGAATTAAAGGCAGTGGTCTATGTTTAAAAGTATGTAACTTAATTTTTAATATTTAATATCATCTTTTTTCCATCGTACTTCTCATGAGTATTTTTCCTATTYCCCCACAAAAGAATCAGGTACATTTTGCTACAAGAAGTACAAATGTAGGTTTTTTGTGCAGTTCGTATGCCTGTGTAAGTACTTGTGGAACAGCATTGGGGATTTCTAGCTTGCAGTCAGCCCTGGTATTGAGAGTTCCCTGTATTCCAAGCACACCTGTTCCTCTGTCTCCGTTCCTAGGAAGTGTCAGTGCTTCAGCAAAGCGGAGACTTGTTCCATTGCTCGGCTTGTGAGGATTGATCCCAAAACCCCCAGCGTGGGCGATAGGTGGAAAAGTCACTGCTCCTTTCCGAGTGTTTGCTTTATGTTCACCTCCAGATATTTCATACTCATCTCTTTTTCTTTAATGTTCCTATTGAGCCAAACTGTTTGGAAAGGGGAGAGTTAGCCGTGTACCTGTTTCTGCCGACAATTTAGCCGCAGCTTCGGCATGTTTCTGTTCGGGGATGTTCCAGTCATTTCTGTAGTTCGCTAGCTGTTAGTTTTCTTAAGCTCCTTCCTCTCAGTGGTTGCAAATTTGGTCTGGCATTGCAGCAAGGATGGTGTTTCCTTTGGGAGATAGCTGTCACTGTATAGATTCTTTCAGTCCCATCTGACCAAGATAGACTAAGTAACTGGAGAAGCTGTCCGAAAATTTTCATCTCATGGAACAGGACAAGTCCAGCTTACTAAAGCTTCTGAGTCTAGTAGTATTACTGAGATCYCTAAATAAGATACTTCTGTGCTTCTGCGGGCCATCTTCCTGCTCAAGGATTGGTTGGGTCAGAGATAGACTGCTTCAGGAAAAGACCTTGAGGATTTCTCAGCATTTTTGTGTGTTCTTTCCTTGTACCGTTCTCCTTTGTCAAAAACCCACTCCCTCTGAGGTCAGAAAGTCAGAGAGTCTGGGAATTTCACTGAAAAATTCCTTTGAGGCATTGCTGATCTTTGGTAATCCGTGTGGTTTCCATCATATTTCATCCAAAGTTATAGGATATAAATTATCACTCCTTGTCACAAATGGCTAAGTGCATAGGGATGAAGCTGATGCAGGCGGTGTCAAGATGTTAGATGAGGTATAGGAATAGAAGCACTAGGGATAACGTGGATGTGGAATGTTCGGAAAAATCATGGTTGACACGGGTGCTGCTGGAGTCTGCCATGCCGTGGGGTTCAGTGGGGCACCCCACCCAGGGGAAGAGGTAGCTGGGCTGGGGAGAGAAATGGAGGAGGAGGTCGTGGTGCAGAAGGTGCCTCCTGCAGGTTTCCAAAAGCCRGGTCCAGCACAGCTGGTACGTTTTGCACACTGCTCTTTGCTCTCATTGACYGTTTTGGGCCAGGCAGCAACGCTGAGATCAAGGAAGCAGAGAAGGGTTTATGACATTAAGAGACRAGGACAGCGGAGCGGGTAGCTTAGGAACTGCAAACGCTGTCAAAGAGCTCTTGGCCTTTGGTAATTGTCACAAGCTTGTGTTCCCATGGAGGACATCCTTTCCTCCCTGTGTCTCCTAGATTCTGTGCAGATCCTTATTCTTAAGCTGCTGCAGTCTTTACGCGAGACATGGTCTTGCTGTGCTGCGCTCCTTCCAGCTCCATGGGCCTTCAGGCTGTCCTGCAGTACAAATACTAATAAAAACTGTATTAAGCTTGTCAAGCACTGTTTCATCCTGTATAAATCATAGCACAGTTCCTGCGAGTGCTCGTCTGTGCCAGCTTAAAACTTTGTGTTCGTGAATGTTCCTGCTAGTCACRTTTGACTCTGCAAGTTATCATCTGCTCAGGAAAGGGGGAGGGTGATAACCCCATAGAAGCACATGTATAYATATATTTGTGTGTGTGTTCATATGTGTATGTATATGTGTGTGTGCACATATATAAAAAAGTTCAGAATATTTGAGAATGACATACATAAATAATTGTTTTTTTCTGATATGTTTTCAGCAGTATTTTTAAAATATCTCAGAATGTTTTCAGTATGGAAAAAATGCTGATTAGAGTATTAACTGTTATTACTCCTGTTAAAAAAGAGATAACTTCTAAAGAAAGATCAATTACTCATTCCAGTTCTATTTTTTTTTTTCCGTTTTTTTCCACAGATATCAATGAATGCCAGTTGCAGGGAGTATGCCCTAATGGTGAGTGTTTGAATACCATGGGCAGTTACAGATGTACATGCAAAATGGGATTTGTGCCAGATCCGACTCTCTCCAGATGCGTACGTAAGTAATAACACTGATCAAAGTAACAAAAAGTTGTGTGCACTTAAGAGATTTGTTTGACTGGTCTCAGCTATCCCACTTCTTGCTGTCCTTGCCTCTCCGTGTCAGCTTATTCACGTCCATTAGTCAGAGGAGCCGTGCTCTGTGCTTCCTTTCTGCCCTCTTGTCCAGGAAACTTCGTTTTCCCTTGCAGCCTTCCAGGCTTCCTGTCTGCCTTCCATGGTTTTCTTGACATAAAACCTTCCAGGCTACATCCTGCCTCTTTGACCACTTCCAGTCTTTATCAACTGACCAGAGTTCTCCTTGACACAAAACATGTGTTTTCCCTCTTCCACTCCTGCAGTTTTAGCATGGATAGTTTTGGTTGCTGTTTCTTAAGAAGCTGAAAGCCACCTCCTTCACAGAAAGACCTTTTTCCTCTCCCACTGGCACTTTTAAAATCCTTGTCCCAAAGCATCAGAGCACTGGAACTCCGGGGAATGGGAGAAAACTACACAAAATCTTAGCGTCGGTAAAGCAATTCATTTTTCCTAGTCCAAGCATCAGGAAAAACTGGACAGTTTAGCCTTAGATTTATAAGGTAATGTAAGATCAACTTGAAGCAGAGAGATTGGAAAATACAATGCATATGCTTTTTTATGCTTTTTATTTTATTTTTTTTTTTTTTTTAATTTTCAGTGAACCTTTATGATACCTTTATGTCTCTGTCACTGGACATTTTCTCACAGTGACACTTTAGATGGGAGAGAAATAAGAATAAGATGAATAAGAATAATAACTTCTGATTTGTTTATAGCATAGGATGCACCGTTTTGTTACGGTAGCAAGAGAAGATGAGATAATGAAAAAGCTTCCATCATTTGACAGAATAGCAACTTTGGAGCAGTCTTTAATTATGCAACATAAAATCAAACATGGACAATACAAACTTTTAATTTATTTTTCTCCCAATGTAATGTTGTAAACAATCAAGCCAATAATCAAACATAATCTGTTTCTCAATTGAAGAGCCTAAATTGGAAGGAATTGATTAGTTATATGGTCACTTTGTCAATCATATGGTAGTTGTGTCATCTCTGAATGAACTACCTGAAAAATACTGCTGTATTTTGGATGAATTTGCTTTGCTGTGATTTTTTTTAAATTRGTTTTAAAGAAGTGTTTAAGGATCTGATCTTGATGTTAGTTACTGAGCTGAAGTGTCAGGAGTAATCTGTGAGTGTCAGTATAAAATTTTGGACAGACTGATACAGTTTCTCAGAGGGGAGAAACTGGTCTGTAATGAATGAGCTCCCTGTTGCTGTGGTCAAAGTGCTACAYGTACACGAACTAGCTGGTTAAATAGGCTCACGTGTCTCTACATTGTGCTGCTAGCAAACCTGTAAATCTGGCACAGACATACTGTTGGAATTAATTATTTTCTTTGTATATAGGATTTTTGAGAGCATACATAAGCTTTCAGTTGAACATGTCAGTATGAACAAGAATTGTCACACATCTGAGAAATCAGACTTTAAGGCATTCTATTATTCTGACTTTTTTTTTCTTTCCTAAGATGTAAGGCTGCAGCTGGAAGGCTTCCAGCCCCATTATAGCCCAGCCATGATATAATGCTCATAATATTAATGAAACCTTGTTTCTGGAGAGCACTTCACAGATGAATGGGTAACAGAGCCAGAAACAGCTACCCAGATTATCCAGGCTAATTCGCTGCATGTTTAGGATTGTGTTTTATGTCACTTCTTGCTTCCAAGCGCCAGTGCTTTGCGTTGGGAGCGGTGCCCGATGGAAGGCTGCACAGACCTTCTCCCTTAGCATCGTCTGGGGCTCGAGGACTAAGTGCACTCCATGAGACTTAATTGGAAGTCAGTGCAGATAACATTTAGGGTAGAAAAAGACTAGAAAGATGAACAAGGGAAAGTATTWTTTTTTCACATGTATATTGAGTCATGGGTGATTTACAGAGGGGGAAAGAATGGGCCAGAAAAAACAACAGCCTTTGTGATTAAGCAGCTGTGTAGATTAGATGTGTCTTGGAAAACGCATGGGGGACTTTTAACTGCAGATCCATTTCCAAAGCAGTCTCCCTTCTGCTTTCATCCAGATCAGCTCCTCAGTGGCCTTTGTCACCCCCCTCACCCACTTTTTTGGGTTATCCCAAGATGCAGGCGTTTCCAAGAACGCCTTAAAAGTAAAGTTGCACCTAGGATTTTGTCAGATGRATCCATAGATCTATTGTGGTTCTAGAAGGACAGCCCTGTAATTTCAGTGCTTGCACATGAGCTGAAGTAGCTGCTCTGGATTCAGGGAGACTGAGTATTGCCCCTCCTTGTGCATCCATTTCCAAGTATGCATGTGAAAGATGTGATGCCACCAGCACCTCTCATAAGATTTACTCTCAYTTGACTGTTTAAAATATTTTTCTTTATAAATCTGCCCGCTTGAGCAATATCTAAAACCTAAAAACACCCCCATAAATTTTCTTCCTGTGCATTAGATTAAGGGGAAATGTAATAAAGCTTGGAATAATTATTTAAGAGACTGTTTATTTGGCTGCACAACTGAAACAATAAAGACTGTGAGTAACTGGAATGGTATAAAGAAGAAAACCTCCAGGGCAAGCAGGGAGCTAGAAAAGAAGCAGTGTACAATCATCCTGAAAATCAACAGATTTCTATACTTACAGCTATTTTTCCTATTAAGTTTATTAAATATGCAGCCGAGGATAATCTTCCTCACATTTTCCTTCTGATTAAGAAGGATTAACAATTAAGAAAGAGTTTTGGAAAGGAGTTGTAAACAGCATGAGTCCAAATAATTTCCTCTGTTAATCAGCTTTTACTTGATTTGAGATCAACTGCCTCTGCAAGACAAAAAGCAAGCAGAGAGAGCAACTGAATTTCTCACTTTAAAGTCTCTTGGGAAGAAGATTGACACATGAAAATGACCTTATTTCCTAAGCTCCTTATCAGAGGTATCTCTAGATTCATAAAATACAGTATAGCTTAAATAAATCATAGGTGAATTTTTTTTCTGTTTTCAAGATCACAATCTTACGCTAGTGGTTAATGATAATCATTAAGGGAGTTTTTCATCATTTTGAAGATTTTTTTGATCACTTTTGAGTTAAACACTGGGAGAAGAAGGGAGCTGGTAGTACATTTTAATTTTTGCTTTTACACATCATGTTGAAAATCAAATATTGCTTATCGTTACATTTTACTGAGAACATATAAGAATATAGATAAATATAAAAACTGGATAGGTCTCTGTTTCACATTACCTCATACTAGTCATAGCTTATGGCTTTTGTCTMTTCTCTAAGCTAAAGCAATCTGTTAAGAACTTGTTTACCATTTTAGACCAAGGAAGTTTAAATTTCTGTCTAAGTTTCAAGTTTAGAAGTGAGAAGGAAGAACATAATGTTGGAATATGTGTAGCCTATGATATGACATGTTTTATTGGGTATATTAGTAGTCTTGTTAGGATGCAGAGTCCAGAACAGGTTTAAAATAATTCCAGTTTGGCAGCAATTTTACGTAGTGCATRTCTGTCATTTGACATATTAGCATCTAAAGAAAACAGTGAGATTAGCAAAATAGAAATATGKAACTGTCTCCCATAAATGCCTGTATGATGGATACTTTTGTGGTTTTATTTATGTAGCTTATTTCTAGCTGAATGTTGCAGTGGCTGTGTAAGTTGTCTCCACGGTAAATTACTTCAGCAGYAGCACTTGCCTACATTAACAGGAGCTGATTTTAATTATTTTGGCAAGTTGGCAACTCCTGATTTGGGAATCAGCTTCTGCTCTTCAAAAATCTGTTTCATGTTTGTTCTAGAATGGATTTGAATTTGGGAATGTTTTAATGCCAAGTAAGTTCTTTTTTTTCCATATGTATTGTAATTAGGGCTTCAGATAGGCGTTTGAAATACAAAAAAAAAAAAAAAAAGGAAAAAAATCCACAAATGAGAACATGAACCCATTTAACTGATGCTGGAAATTGGTGATTTTCTGTTTTCTTTTTCTTGTGAATAATACCCTCCTCTCTTCTCTTTCCCTTGCAGCTGATAGTGCTGTGGTCACCGAGGAGAAGGGGCCCTGCTACCGGTTTGTCAGTGCAGGAAAGCAGTGCATGCACCCCCTTTCTGTCCAGCTCAGCAAGCAGCTCTGCTGCTGCAGTGTGGGCAAAGCCTGGGGCCCCCACTGTGAGAAGTGTCCCCTGCCAGGAACAGGTAAGAACTGCCCATTAAAAGTAGTTGTTCTCACCCACCTTATGCTGGGTTTTGAAAAAGAATCCAATGCTGGATGAAAAAGGAAAGGAGAAGTGTCCAGCAGTAAATGATGACAGTTCTGCAGGCGATGATGGAATAATTAAATATGTATTATTTTTGTTTAGAAGCATTCAAAATGAAAATAAAGACATTTTMTTTGGTATGTAGTGGTAAAATTACAGTCTGACAAATATTTACATCTCAGAATGTAATTTTGAACATTGAGCCTTTATCATATAAAGGTAAGTTTATAGGCTTTTAAATCCTGATTATAGATCCAGGCAAATTAAACCAGAGTCTAAAGAATACTTTAAGCTGTAAGTGAAAGGGTGGCAGTAATGGAGAATTCATCCATAGTGTTGTGTGTGCTGTAGTTTCCATTACAGCTGTTAGATAGGAAAAGGAGTCCTTTTCTGTTTTCCCACCTTCCTCCAAATCTTTACCATTCCTTTTGAGGAAGGTGCCAAGTATGGTATCGACTTTTTAACAGTGACTGGAAGTTAAACATCTCCTTCCATCTTTCACTTAAGCAATTGGTTGCTTAATAGATAAAGCCCACTCATGCTATCAGCGTTCACTTTGAGTCCTGCTAGTTTTTAAATATAAAAAGACTCTATAAATACCAGCTTGGCTCATCACTGCTCCTAAGTTTGTAGAGTAAAATGCTGCTTATTATAGATTAAGGTATTTCTCACCGCTTTGTGAGAAAGCTCAAAATTTAAATGACTGAATTTGGAGTCTTCAGTCAAAACCTAGTGAGTATTATTTTGCAATCAAATTAATATATATATTTAAAAAAAAAAGTCATTGCTCACATTTCTATTATTGAAAGAACCTCTAGCATATATGATTCCTAGCAGTATATTAGTACAAGTATTTGTAACTATATCCATTTTTCTTGCTGAAGTTGCTGCTGCACATGCCTCTTAAATTGTGAAAAACATATGTATTTCTCTGAACTATTTTCCTGAGTGAATTTTGGGTATCCAGTGCTAACATCTGAGACATGATGACTTTAGAGAGTACCAAAATCCTTATTATTTCAGTGGGGCATACAAAAATGGAAACATCAAAAATTTTTGAGCGTTGGAATTGATATTTAAAGCCATTGCTTCCTGTGTGGTCATTTAGTTGCTGATTTGTTGATTTGGGTTTTAAAAGTCCAGTTGGCTCTCAGATAAATAATATTTCTATTGCTTTTCAGTGGAGCAAAAATATTCTCATTAGATGACTAGCAATTTAAATGTACATGCTTTATATCTGTAAGAATACTCGGACAAGTCTGAGTTGTGGTAGAATAAGATACACATTTCTAGTCTTCATTTGAGAGAATATGATTTGAACCAAGATTTATTACACCCCAGGTATGCATCAGAAGGACAGATTTCTGTCTTCCTCTTTGACCAGATATTCTACTCTTGATTGGGTGTTTTTGTAGCAAATTTTGATTTGGGCATTTCCCCTAAAAAAGTGTTTTGTTGTTCGGAATCCACTGAATTTAATGAGTTTGACCATTCATCATTCGTATTACTAAGTCTCCATCTCACCAAGCTTCCAAAAGTCCAAAATCTGCAGTTGTGTAATTTAATCAGTTAATCTCTGGAGCATCCATAGCTACTGTTGGCTGTTCTTATTTTAAATGCAGATTCATTTTTTTTTTAAATGCTGGTCTGTTTCCAAAGCAGAATTTGTGGCCTCATTGATGCCCCACTCCACACAGCTCTTAGTCTTACCACAGCGGGGACTAGATCCTTGGTGCTTCATCCCAAGCTGATCCACAACATTTAGAGCACTGAGTGCCATGAAGCCCATCAAGACTCTTGAAGCCTCCTGTCCTTAACCTATTACCTTGGGCAGGGAGGAAGGCTGACTCTTTTTCATCTTGGTCTTCCACTGCTGGTCTGCAAAACCTGTTGCTGCTGGCTGATTGCCATGACTTTTTCTTTCTTTTTCCATTGCAGTCTTGTAAATGAGATTGTTGCCTCTCTCTTCCAGTGCTGATTTGACTTTTTATGATCCCCATCTTGTTTTTATCCAGCCCTGCAGTCAGTGGAAAAACCCCACTGCGGTCAGTGGAAAAACTTATTCAATTCAGTGGAATTTGGATCAGAGCTCGTATGAGACTTCTCATGTAGTGAAATGGGATCCTGTGAATGAATGTTGCTGCTAATTGACATTTTTTCTGCTCCTCTAGCACAGGGGTAGTGAGCTTTTTTCTTTGGTTTCTGCCAAAAAAAGGGAAGGGTATGGTAGAAATAGTAATTTTCACTCCTTATGGTATGTAGACGATGATGATAATTTATCTGTATAAATTCCTACTCAGAAAGGATGTTCTGTTTGAATAGGAGTAATAAAAAAGTGATCTTGATATGATGATAGATTAAACATAACTGAAGGAAGTTGTTAAACTGGAGTAGAAATCTCCTTGGGATAAACTGAGCCAGAACATGCTTTGGGGAAAATGTGCAGTCATGTTAGCATGTAGCACAGTTTGCAGTCTTTTTTTTTTTTTAATTCCATGAAAATGTATGTACAGTAGGAGATTAACTTTATTAGTGCTTTTAATGATATTTTCCAGTATGTCAACCTATTGCACTTGTAGACTCCTAAAAGGAATATTTTCCCATCCCAAATCTAGCTGCTTTTAAGGAAATCTGCCCTGGTGGAATGGGTTATACGGTTTCTGGCCCTCACAGAAACAAGCTATATCATCACCCTGCAGTTAGAGTACAGCCACCTGCCATTGGCAAGACCCCGATTACTCAACCTGTTGCTAAAGGTCCTTCTCCTCCACCTCTCCCAGCAAAGGAAGAGCCAGTGGAGGCACTGACCTTCTCACAGAAAAGTGAGCCTGAGGTGGCTGTGCAAGAAGGTGAGAGTGGCCGAGCTTTGTCTTCCTGTTTTTCTGTGCATGTGTCTTGATTAATGTGTGTATTAATGTGTTCCAGGTCATGGGGTGAGTTGTGTTAAATGGTTCACTACCTGTAGTCCCATCGATATCCTGTAAGCACCAGAGAGAGAGAGAGAGAGAGAGAGAGATCACTTCGATCTGATTAGTTATGATAGGAAATAGCAAGTATTTGTTTTTAAGGCTTCTTGAAGATATTAATCTTCTCCATACTATAACAAAAGATTGCTCTTGGGCATTGATTTACTGGTATTAGGGGTTGCAGGAGTCGAGGGGTTTTCATGATCTTTGTTCACACACATCTCTACATCATCACCACGTGATGTGGGGATGTTTGCCCGTGCTGTGCTCTCCTCTCCCTCCTGCAATCCTGCGCTCTCCCAGCATGGCCATGTGGCATCAGCTCCTCTCTKCCTCCTCTGAGATCATTTTCTCAGACGTTGTATAGTTTTCTGCAAGCCCCTCTAAGAGCACTGAGTAGCTGAAAATGTGCTTAATAAAAACGCAGAAGCAAAGACTTGCAGAATGCAGCACCATCATAAATACATTGTCAGCAAGCCTGGCTGTTTAAAACGTATAAAAAAGTCATTTAAAATATAAAAAAAATAGGCCTACGCTAAGTTAATGATAACATATTGGTATGTTTAAATTGTATACTTCACTTTTAGATGTGTTTGCATCTCAAGTTGTTGAGATTTTAGCAAAATGTCTTCTAGACCTCCTAATCAGCCTCCTTGCTAATGCTGAAAAGGCTAGAGCTAGAAGAGCAAATATATATGCATACATGTGTATGTATATTTTCCCTTGGTAGAAGATATTGATTTGGAAAAGAAAATTATTTCTGATTTTTTTTAAAAGAGCCATATAAGTTTCCATCAGTAAAAGACAAATTTTAAAAATGCAAAGGGGAGGAGAAAATAAACTCATATGACATTTCTGTCAATTACTCTTTACCTTTCCTTCCTAGAGGAAAGCCGTTTTGGGTGTAAAAAATCACTTTCTGTTGTTTTTAAAAAGACAGTTTTCAAAAGCGAACCTTTAAATTGAATTACTGAACTAATTTTTTTTGTTGTTGTTAGTTAGCTTATGTCATTACAATATTAATTTACCTCTAAAATGATTGTAGAGAGTGTTATTTTTTGGAATGGATTCTAGAAGTTAAAATCAGCCGATTAAATGAGCTAGTTAATAASCAGTGAGGTGCTTGAGTGGCTTGGCAATGTCTAAGGAAACAGTGTAGAAATGTAAGAGGCTGAAAACTACAGAAATAGTTGTGAAGATTGGTTGGTGCATAGAGTCTTGTTCCAGTTTTRGATTACATTTGCTCAGAAACATTATTTCCGATTTAGGGTGCTTTAGATGATAGTGTGAAAATTTTCTATGATGACAGAAACTGCTTTTAAACATGATTATAGTTTTAATCAGAATGTATGAATAAAAAATATGAGAAGACTGCTTAATTTTTTTTTCTTTCTATTTTCAGTGGCAACAGCAGCCCCTGATCAGGTAAAACACAAAAGCCTTTTGACCCTTGAGTGTGCCGATACGTCAGAGGAATGTGCTCCTGGAGTAATCACACTCTGAGTTTCTTGCTCTTCAGACTTGAAGGGCCAGTGTTTGTACATGTTCTTTCTGACTGATTTATCCAAAGATCATTAACATCAGGGAAGAAACAGCGTCCCAGGGACACGAGCTCTGATTCTGAGTCCATGTGTTATAGTTAGATACAGTGCAAACCTAGAGGCAAAAAGATCTTATAGATGTTACATAAAAAACCAGGCAGATAGTGAGATAAAGCAAGGAGAGGCAAGGACCCTCTCTTTAGGGCATTAGCTGTGAGTCTTGTACTACATATGTAGTTCTGGAGCCTATATTTTGAGTAGGATATTGAAGTTTGCAGGCAGTGTGGTATGAAAGACTGCCACCGATGCTGACAGCTACAGAACACAAATTGCACAGAAATGGGATGAGACTTTGAGGCGTATTTGTGCTTCCTGCTCAGCAGTCTTGTATTATAATACATTTAAATTAGATGAAGAAGCTAAAAAGCTTTTAAGATTGCTGTGTGTTCACTGAAGGAGATCGCTATATGCCTTGCATCTGCCCGGAGGTCCTAGGTTATCTCCACTGCAGTGAGTAGGACTGGTTAGGAATAACTGCCTTTCAGTTTCCTAAAGACTTACAAATATCTAAGTCTTTTATGGGACAAAAATAAAAAGGGGGGCTGGTGTTTGGTGCGTTAGCTAAAGGAGAACCTTTCACAATGATCAAAGGCTTGGAGACATAGGTGGCTGCGTACTCTTTGCATCATGCTGGCCACGAAATGCTGTTTGTAAATAATCAAAGAGTAGGAGATAGGATTGCTAAGGAGTGGTAAAGCCAGAGATGAAGGTAGAAGCATGAAGTGAAGCTCCTTAAAATGACTTTGGCATTGAGTTGTATGCCATTGCGTAAGAAAGAGAGGAAAGATCCTATGCTCTTTCATGCTCAAATTGGTGATAATTCATTAATTATTCATTAATAATTCATTAATTTTAAGACATCATTATGTCTTAAAAAAAATACAGGCAAGAGCAAGAAACATCAGCTATTTCTCAAGCCAGAGAGGTTTTAATATCTTCCTTTTTTTTTTTTTTTTTTTTTAGGAATTAGTTTCATTTGATCAAGAAAAACAAATCCTAGAGCCTGGTCAGCCTCAGCTTTCTCCTGGGATTTCAACCATTAACCTGCACCCACAGTTTCCAGGTAGCTTATTTTGACTTCTCTTCTAGTAAGAGACAGTACTTACAGCCCTTCAGAGAAATGGAAATTAGTAGTTGTAATAGAGATTAATAAAAGAATGGCCACAGTTTAACAAGGAGTTTTTACATAAGCAGAATACAAAAATAAGGAAAGGAAAAGAAAAGCATGGAAGCAGAAGTGGGAGGAATCAGGAGGTATTAGTTAGGAGGCATTTTAAGAGGCAAAGATAGATATTGTAGGTAGAGGTGATAACATGAAAAAATCTGCAGTATGTACATAAAAAATGTAATGTCAGCCAAGTTGAGACCTTGTATCTTTTTCAAGATGAAGCTCGGCTTAAGTGCTTTCTTTATGCACAACTTCAGCTGCAAAAGTTTGAGCATTTTTCTTGCTTTCTTTAGCACCTTACTTTTTAGAAGGAGGTGGGACAAGGGAAAAWCACCTTACACCTTTTTTTCTCTCTCTTTTCTACTTCAAATCTAAGCAGAGTAAATTAATGAAAAGCTCTGTGGTGTCTGGGTAGTTCAGTATCACTTGGGAATGCTCTCAGGGTTTTGGGCTTTTTTTTTTTTTTTTTGGATGTGATTGATTTCCATTCCATGTCACACAGTAGTGATTGAGAAAACATCTCCTCCTTTGCCTGTGGAAGTTGCTCCTGAAGTCTCTACTTCGAGTGCAAGTCAAGTAATTGCACCTACTCAGGTTACAGGTATTGTACTTCTTTTTTAGAATTAAAATAAATTAGCGTATGTCTGTGAATTCCTGGCATTATAACTTGTTCCACTCTAGTAGTTAAATAGCAAGTTTATCTGTAGGAAATACTGAAAGGAATACTCGGTGGAGAGATTAAAAAAAAAAAAAAAAGGATACAGAACAATGCAGAGAAGAACGTGCCGTTAGCAGATCTGGGATGGACCGTCTCAGCGTACAGCTGTTGCTTTTTTTTCCCCACAAATAAACATTTGCAAAAATYAACAATTCCGCTTCAGATTACCTGATTTGCAGCTGAAGTCCAACAGTAAGTTTTCATATTTGTACTCATGTGACTAACAGACAAAAATGCAGGCACAACCGTTCTAACRGTATAAAGAAATGCACAGCTCTGCCTTGCTGTGGTCTAGTACAAAGGGGCTTTAAATTACAGCTGGAGTTCCTAGGCACTACCACAGTTCAGAACATGTAGTAAGTTAAGGTAGAACAGTCACTGGAGGATCAAGCAGAGCAGGTGCAGTTCAGTGTGATGAGGGCTCAGTCTGTGCTCCAGAATGGGAATAGCAATTCAAATTGGCCATCCCATTGGAAAGAAAATRGGTCTGTTCAGCCTGGAGAAGAGGAGGCTGAGGGGGGACCTGATCAGCGTGTATAAATACCTSAAGGGAGGCAGTGAGGAGGAGGGGGGCGGCCTCTTTTCAGTGGTGGGCAGGGATAGGACTAGAGGAAATGGCTTCAAACTGAAGCATCGGAAGTTCCACAGGAACTTAAGGAAGCATTTYTTCACTGTGAGGGTGACAAAGCACTGGAACAGGCTGCCCAGAGAGGTTGTGGAGTCTCCTTCTTTGGAGATCTTTAAAACCCGCTTGGAYGCAGCCCTGTGCCACGTGCTCTAGGTGACCCTGCGTGAGCAGGGGGGTTGGACTMGATGACCTCTGAGGTCCCTTCCAACCTCCAGCATTCTATGATTCTATGGTTCTGTGAAAAGGTGCAGGCAGTGGCAAGACACTGGGCAAAATCACAAAACAAGTCAACAGCAACCAGTGGAAGAAACTGGCTGAGGAGTGACCAAGTTCACTGTCATGTTATCCAGGTTGTCAAAAATTCAAAATGTGAAAGTCAGGGAGGAGTGGGATGGAGAAGGGGCCTGCATATGTTTCTTCTGTCGTTCAAGACCGCCAAGAAGCCTCTGAAGCAGTGGAACAGGCTGCCCAGGGAGGTTGTGGAGTCTCCTACTCTGGAGGTCTTCAAAACCCGCCTGGATGCCACCCTGTGCCACATGCTCTAGGTGTGCCTGCTTGAGCAGGAAGGTTGGACTAGATGATCTGTAGAGGTCCCTTCCAACCGTAAATATTCTGAAATATTCTGAAGGTAGAGAATATGATGGGCATTAGATGAGAATGAAGGTGTGAGTCATGTGAAAACACTGATAAAGAAGCAGTATCACCTGTGGGATACTAAATCAAGGGTTACTGAGTCATGCAACTTGTACAGGGTGCAGGTTACCCTGATATTTGAGATATTATTCTCCTGGATTTATTGATACAGCAGAGAACCAATGTTGTTCTGTAAACACGGAGCTACCTCGTCCAATTACTTTGAATAACAGTTTGTCAGTCCCCTTAGAAAGCTCTATTGATGGTAAATGTGAGTCCAGAATTTGGAAGTCAGCTGTGCCCCTTCTGCCAGCTCCCTCCCTGCCTCAGTGCAGGAAGGGGAGGTTACACCTCTGTGTGCTCTCCATCGGTTAGGAAAAAATTGCAGTTTTCCATGTTCTGCTGTTCTTTTGCTTTCTCAGGAAAAAAAAAAAGAGTGGAATTGCTGTGCTGCAAAGGAAGCTCGTTAGATTACTTGTTATAATTCCTAAATAAAACAGTCTGTTGTTCAGAAACAGTTCCAAGTGGTGCTCCAACTTTTAGGAGATAGCAAAGAACAAATGGAGTAAGTTTTGCAAGACCATGAATTAGAATAAAAACACTGAAAACTGGTAAAGTGTTTCCAACTACCTTAGATCTGCACTGTCATAGTTGGTTAAATTTCATTTTAACCTATTTCTGAGTAGCCTGGATTAATAATGCAAGCCCAGCAGTTTCAAAATTACCATTTCGAATTGCTATATAACCTTAATTTAAATTGCTGCTCTTCACGGCCATTTATGTTTTGTGCAGTAATATATTTAATTTGACAACTTCTGAAGCTACAATGAAGATTTAGCAGCCAGTACTGCCCAATCTGAATCTTTTTCTTAMAAAATATGTCAAAATTAACAATAATTCTGTAAGAATAAGAAACTCTCCAGATTTATTTTCTTAGTGTTGTCTGAGAAGATTAAATTGCATATTATTTTGTTTTTATACTATCTTCATTTTACTCCTTTTTAATGTACCTAAATCTTGGATRGTACATGGGAATATGTCACTAGAGAAATATGAGATGTTTTTCTAGATCTTSCAGATAAGTTCCCCTTACGAAACTGGATTTTCTAACTTGATTTACAGTTGCTTCCCGGCCAGGTCTTCCCATTTGGATTAGAGAATATTGCACTTACTGAACTATGTCGTGGAGTTTAATGTTAAGTATTTTTATGTTTGCTTGCTTAGAAATCAACGAGTGTACAGTTAATCCCGATATCTGTGGAGCAGGACACTGTGTTAATCTGCCTGTGGGATACACTTGCATCTGCTACGAGGGATACAAGCTTAATGATCAGCAGACAAAATGCTCCGGTATGAATGGACACTTTCAAAACTCTGAAATAATTCTGCTCTGAAATGCTGGATGTGTAGAGTCTGATCTTACCAACAGTCAGTCGTGTGCAACAGAGCAGTTGAGAGTTGCRTCCTCTAATGAGTGCTTCCCAACTACAAAGAAAAACAAGTTATTTTTGAATGTCAGAATTTCCCGGTTAGGTCTCTGATAGCCTTTCAGCCACTCCAAAGTGAACATAAATTTAATTAAACTTGAATGAGAGCCTTTCCTTTGTGAGGTAGTAGATGGTCTCTTCTCTGCTTTGGGTATCCATAATCCTCAGAAACAGACCTTCTGTTGCAGGAAAAAATAACCAAAGTAATGCTTATTTCTCAGAAASGATGACTTGCCCCTTCCTAACTACCTACTCTGCAGCTGACCTGAATCTGTCCTTTTGTTATTTTTTTTCCTTCCAACTGTCTTCTAAAAAAGTGAAAGTAAGTTGGAAATATCCCAGAAGTGCATGAGGAGATTTGGGAAGCAAGGTCTTCACCTCCTTCAAAACCAATAAACCCTCCTGGAAACAGAGGTMTCTGAAGAGTGCGAGACAGTGCCCAAATTGGCTTTGATCGGGGAGCCACTTCAGATCTGGAAGCAACTGTATCAGTGCCTTTCCTTTACTCAGATGATGCCAGTTCCTCTGTAGCACGGATCAKGAGGAGGTTATTCAAGTTTCCAAATTACATACTGTCAACTTTCCATGCTGACAGAAGTCGCTTCACCGTAGTACTTGCATTATTACCTGGTGGAATTACAGTATTRCAAGATAATGTGCACACTTACAGCCAAAAGGCAACTTAAAATCTTTCTATTTATGCTTGCAGCTTATGCTCAGTTTGCCCTCGGGSTAGTGACTTGAACAGTAATCAGTTCATGTTCTTCAGGCCAGTGCAGCCTTTATATATTCTAAGACAATAAGATTGMAAGGCTTTTTTTCAATCATAACTGTGTAATGCTTCTTTTCATGTGGGTCTAAGGGARTAAAGCACTACCCTTTCAAATAGTTAAAGCAGTTGCAAGATCATTCTTTTTGAAAGCTTGAGATGGAGTGCACAAAAATACGTTATTCTGTAACAACTAAATGTTATTCTATAGTCTTATATTTTTATTTCTCTTGTAGATATTAATGAGTGTAATCAGATGCCCCATCTCTGTTCCCTTGGACGTTGTGAAAATACTGAGGGAAGTTTCCTTTGTATTTGCCAAGCTGGATTTATGGCCAGTGAAGATGGAACTGACTGTGTTGGTAATTGCTGGTCTTCTTTATAAAAAGGAAAGATGAATCAAGAAATGTAGCCAAAACTCAGTGAAGTCCCTTTTCATTTTTTTCCTCAATGTCATTGTTACTGGATTGATGCCTGAAAGTGTTTAACTGTTTCTCACTAAGCATTGTGGAGGTGAAAGTATTTGAGTGGCTTCTACTCATTTACRAAACTGTCAGTTGCTGAAAAACAAGATTTTATTCAATATCATTTTTATTTAGGAAAACCACCAGGTGGAAGAAGCACYTTCTGAATTCAGCAGTACAAATGCTGAATACTCTTAGTCATTAGCAACCGTGACAGGCCATAGGTTTAAATAGAGACTCCTAGAATCACTGTGGTTGGAAAAGACCTTCAAGATTGTCAAGTTTAAATGTAAGCCCCTTAGCACCATGTCCCTACGTGCCTCKTCTATACCTTCTTGAGCTTCTTGAGGTTCTTGAGCATAGCTGCGAGGAGCCCTGGACCTCCTAGATTGATGGAGATGGGTTGAAATGACTGTGATGTTCACAGAAAGTTAGCAGTGCCCTGGGCATGACAGCCMCTGTGCGAGGTGCTCTGCGTTTGCAGCCATGTGGCTACTCATTGTCCCCCTTCCTGCAGCCAGGTCGTTTCTAGAGCTCGTTCTGTGTGATTTTACAAGCTGCAAGTCAAGATGGAGCTGCCCACTAACAGCTGGGGGGCTGTAGCTTGCCACCAGCTTGCAAATCCAACTGGATTTTACTTATTTGTTTATGTTTAATTAAAGCAGGTTTAAGAGAGATACAAGCGTTTTGTAATTTCGTGATGAAATTTCTTTTATTTTCTATGTCTCCTCAGATTTTGATGAATGTTCAAGACCTCATACTTGTGGAGAAGGCTTCTGTATAAATACTGTTGGCTCGTACAGATGTGAATATTGTGACAGTGGATACCAAATGAACAGAAGAGGTGAATGTGAAGGTAGGTTTGGAGTCTTCACCAGTAACACGTCCTGTAGCATGTGCCAAGCCACACGACTGCAACAGGAGGAGCCGTTTGCTCATGTCAACTGTAGCGTTACCGACTGCTGTTTCTCATCTCAACAGAAAACTTTGTGTGCTACTTTATTTTTTGAAAGAATCTGACTGTTAGCTGGAAATATTACAATATTTTATCCTCAGAACAGTTTTTTTAAGTTCAGCATATTTTTTATCTAATACACTTATTTAATTCATTTTAATCTCCATTTGCTRTTTGTTTTCAAACAGAATATCTTGGCACGGTAATTTTATATCTGTCTGTGCTCAGAGTTTGCTCCTCCCCATCACACTCTGTGCTTATTTCCATTGGTAATTTCTCTAGTTTAATCTTTCTGCCAGGTACCTCTCACAGATACTTTATTTGTTTAATTTGCCTTCAGGTCATTTAGCTTTCTCCTGTCCAGCAGCTGAAAATGTCACACTATTCAAAAAGGATCTTGCTTGCTTTATCTGCAGTGTGTCCTGGATGGTGAAGCGAGGCTACCATTTGTTTGGCACCAGAACTGTGCCAAACATTCCTGCTGCTTGGGATGCTTAGCAGGGCTTGCTCTGGAAGGGAGGCTCAGACCTGAGGCTTGAGCTGCAAGGGGAGGATTCTCACAGGGTGCAGTCATAAACAAGAAACACTTCTAAATACTCCCACACACTTCAGTTATTTGGTGTCTGGATCTGCAATTCAGTTCCTATTAGCTAGACTTAAGACACTGCAGAGCAGTTTCCCCACTGCAAGCACAACCCCAAAGAGCTCCTGGCGCTTCCTCACGGCACAGCTGCACAAATGGGGCTTGCTGCAGTGCCCTGAGGACAAGGAGGCAGCAGATCCTCCTCCCTGTCCACTGGCAACACTTCTGCTTCCACAAAGATTCATCGTTTCTCTTTTATCCTATGTTAATAATAGATAGCAAACRATTGATTTTGTTTATTTTATTAGGGAAATATATAGCTAGCAAATACTTCATGTTACATCTGGCCTTCAAAGTTTCACATCACTTTTTCAGTGTCATATTTTTGCCTTTTTGTTGTTATTTTCTTCTCTAATTTCAACAGTGATTATGAAATCGGGAAATAAAATCCATAGTTAGCTATTTACTTTTAAATACAGTTTTATTCATGCACTAGTCCTTGTTACTTCAGATAACCTAAATCTGCTACGGATATATTTGCTGTTCTGAACTTTGCTAGAAAATTCCTCTGCCTATTTGAGTAATTTTTTTTCCTATTTACATATTAGGGTTCTTTTTACCGATGTTGCTCTTAAAATTGCTTCCTCTACATCTTGTCTCTCAGTAGGCAGTCCACCTGACTTAAATAGGCTAGAAATCATAGCACCACTATGCATCAAATTTCTCATTAGCCTGTATTTTCAGTAGTGCAGTGTTAGTCTTCTATCATTTAACATAATAATATATAATTCTCAAAACCAAAATCTCTGTTGAAAGCTATTTATGGTTGCTTAAGGGGAAGAAAAAACCCTGCTACACTCATCTGTCAAACCAAGGAGATGACACATTTAGGAATCATTTCACCACAGCATTACACCTAGTAGAGTCACCCTCCTGACAGATCCCACGTTTCCCAAATCACTCCCTTGCACTGCAGCAGCAGGAATGGTGTGAGCTGCACACAAGGCAAGTTTGCTTGCGTTTCCAGCCCCATCTTCATTCAGCCTTCAGGCTCTACACACGCAGGCTGAAGTCGCAGCCCCAGCCCMATGAGGAGCACGAGCTGGGGCAGCGGCCGAGCCCCCTCGAGCAGCAAGCGCCGTCAGTCCTTCCAGGCAGCAGGAATGGGTGCCCAGCAGTCTGTTTATGACCCTCGACGTTACCAGCCTCCCCTCCAAAGCCTCACAGAGCTGTAGGTGCTGCCTGGGGTTTTCTTCAGACAAATTAATGCCTTATCTCCATAAACAATTTATTTGCTTACCATTGACACAGCTGTGTTTATGGTCCCTATACTACGTGCATGCTGCCAACTGTAGGACACAGGAAAATTCACAGCAAGTCCTTACTTGCTTTGAAAATCCAGAGCTACCTTTTATTGTAATGTACTTTCAGAGTCTCCTCAGAGTGACCATAGGAGGTACCTCAGGACATTTCAGTATAGTAAAAGGGGTGACATAAACAGAGATATCCATGCCCACCTAAACCTGGAGTCTGATCTGTTGTATACTATGGAGGATCTGCCACAAAGTGCCATAGACAATTCAGATTTAGTTACAGAAACCGTGATCTAATTTATTTCTCAAGAATATACTATTTCACTAGTATAAATTTGTACTAAGTTGGACCTTGGTTGGCCTCTGACTGAAAGTACACAACTCTTTAAGTGCATTAGTAAGACATACACAGAGCCAGAATAGTCAGATCAGTTTACTGTTCAGTGTTCTTTTATTATTCTGACCTACATTTTATTTTGTGTTTTACAGATATTGATGAATGTCAGACCCCAACAACTTGTCCAGATGCGCAGTGCGTTAACGCCCCAGGCTCTTACCAGTGCATTCCCTGCAGAGTGGGATTCCAAGGCTGGAATGGACAGTGCCACGGTACGTTCAGGGCACTGCAAGGAAGGGGTGACTAGCGTAGACCGATAGCAAAGAGCAAATGAACACGTGRTGCAAGAAGAAGCAAAAGGCTTTTGAGTGGCAGCATTGAGTGCCACTTCTTGGGGCACTACTGGAGACTTGAATTCAGCTTCAGCTGAGAAGGGTATCCTGTCTGTTGTGAATCTTCCTTTCTGCTCCCTATGTGCACCCATGTGCTCTGCTTTTGACAGCTGGGAATTTATGACATAATCATGTTACCTAAATGTTTATTTGCCTCRCTGCTGAATTCAGGTCTCTATCTTTTAACAGCTACTTAGATCCAAGCATTGAGAATATCACATGCACTAACATCAAAATATGTATGGTTTATTCAGTGAAAGCATCTGAAACAGCAGGGATCTGAGAAATTGCTCATGCAGCAGCACTCCCATAGCACTAGGGCCGTGGCTCTGCCCTGTCACAGGTTTGGAGGGTGCCCCTTGGTGCTCCTAGCCAGAATAGGTAGCAAGGCATCTTGCATACAGCAACAGGGCTATAGGCTCAAGAGAAGATAGAAGAGCTGTAAATAATCTGAAATATGGGTGATAATAGTCATTTCAGTTGTGTCTAGGGACACATAAGGCTTTGACCATCTGATTGTAGAGGACCCTCTAGATTAGAGTCATGAATGATAAGTTAATCTGAGGAAAATAGTTGCAGCAGATATTCATAATAGCTAATAATAGCTGTGGTGGTGCACTAAAAACTTAAAATCTCTTTCCAAGTTGCCTTATGCTAGAGCTGTCTAAATGACTTAAGTGCTTCAAATAATCAACAATTTTACTCTTTTATGTTGATAGATTTTGTGTGCTTCGCAGTGGCAAAAGACAGAGTAATTGAGAGTAATACAGTTTCTGGGATATAATAGCAAATAAGTTAGTAATAGTCTATACAAAGACACCTGTTTACTATTAACAATATCCCCAAAGTAAATTAAATTTGAAAATGAGCCTTTTATTTTTTTAAACACCTCTAGGAAAAAGACAGTGCTGATTATTTTAGAACATTGAATTAATTCTCACTTGGTTTGTGACAGAAGCTGTTACTTATTTATCTGCTTGTATTTTTTGTTTTGTTTCGCTTTATTTTCTGCAAGTTGCGTTCAGGAGGAGTTCTTCAAAAAAGCTGCCTTGGTAGAAATACTGCAGTTCTTGTATTAATTTGAGAGTGATCTCTCCAGTTCCGTTGTCTTTGCTTCAGGGAATACTGAAAATAGACATCTATGCATAGATGATGAAATAAAAAATATTTCAAATCCCCCTCTAAATAAAAACTGGCATGTCACTGGAGCAAGAGTTCCTATCTTACTTGGGAGACTTGTGCTGTAAAGGCTGGAGTTACTTCTTGCCTGCCTAGGCTAGCCTATGTAATCTCCTATAGGAGACCTATGTAAAGTGCAGAAACGCTCTTGAAATCGCCCAGGGGTTGGCTTGCTTCTTTAAGCTCCTTTTTAAAACGTCATCCTCGGCTGGCTCAGGCTGCAGGTGTGTTGTGTGCAGTGCTCAGTTATGCGCTGGAGAACTCCGCAGGCCTCTTTGCTGTGCACMGACGGAAGCAGCCGAAGCTGCAGCAGCAGCAGCAGAGGTGGCCGAGCTCTGGGCTCGCCCCGGGCTTCCCACCTTGGCCTGAGCTCCGGGCACCCAGTGGAGCCAGCGAGCAGCGAGGCACTTGCTGTGAGCAGAGGAAATGTTTTAAACCTGGTTTCAACCTGGAACAACTTCCCAACTCAGCCTTGCCAACATGAGCTGTGTCTGCAGCAGGCTTTTCCTGGGCTGTTCCTTGCGATAGCAAGAGGATTAGTGATAATGGTTGCATTAGCACTACTTGATAATGTTTACGTGGTGATTGGCAGCTGTTAGTGCCTTTATCACACAGTCATTTTATGCTTTCTAAGAGCAGAAGTGTGTAATGCAAGAATGAATGTGCCAGTACTTGCTCACCTCTTGTCTACGCTGAAGTTGCGCTGATTTAAGCAATTGTGGGATAATTATTGTTAACTAACCTTATTTGGGGAAGGATGATCTGAAAGTGGTTGGTTCATAGTGCAAGTGCTATTAAAAAAAATGTTTATTAGCTAACCTAAAAACTAAACCTTGCAATATTGAGGTGAGAACGTCAGTGTAGTCACATGGGCAGTAACTAGAGTTCAGTGTCTGAGCCCAAGCCAAGCCCAAGTTTAAATCCTTTCAATTAAAATCACAGTTAGCTCAGAATTGACACAGAGAAGCTTCTTAAAATCATGCTTACTGCGGATTTTAAGAAAATTCACAAGCTCAGTTGAAAGAGGGCTGTATGCAGAAGAATATTTCCTTACATATTAATGTTTTCTGTATATTCACAGATGTAGATGAATGTCAGTATGGCAATCTCTGCACAAATGGACGTTGTGAAAACACTGAGGGCTCTTTCAGATGTACTTGTGGCCAAGGTTTCAAACTCTCTGCAGCAGAGGATCAGTGTGAAGGTAGGAAGGAATATGACTGAAATGGATAATGTTGCATGTGTCTATTAGGAAATAGGTTTTTATCTAACTTTATGTCTCTTAATAGAGAAATAACAGGAGTATAATACTGCAGCTAAATAACTAAAACTAAGTAAGCAAAAATGATTTCCATGTCACAGCTTCCATGGGCACACTGTATGCCTTGTGATTTGTTATAAAACATCTGAAGTCAAAAAGCTGATCAAGGCCACGTAGAATGTATATTGCTGAATTGACATTCCTGCAAAATGCTTGACATTTGCATCGCATTAGAGGCTTGAGGACCTTGGTTTTCTCTGCCATGAACTTTGAGCATGACATTTACTCATCTGCGTTTCTGTCTGGCCCCCTTCACGTGGGGCAGGGAATCAAAAAAACAGGCAGCCCTCAGCTTGGAGCCCAGGAGTGCCTGCTGAATACAGAGCTGATGCCTGCACTTTCTAGTGGTACTTTTAATAGAGAAAGAGAAACTGGTGTCACAATTCTAAGACCAAGATACCCGACCCTCCAGGCTGTCAGATCTGCATTTCTTCTGCATCTAAAATTCTCATCAGGACAGTCCCAGTGAGCCAGGGGTAGGTCTGAAGTCAGAAGGGAGCAGYCTGGAGGGCATGCAGGATGTATGGGCATCCCTCTGCCTCTTGGACAGCAGGCATTAGGGACTTCTTGAAACCCTTTAGCAAGGGTGAAGGCTGTGGAAGCACACAAACACCTCGGGAGTTCCTTCTAAGACTTCTTTCCACTTTTTTCTTCTGCAAGTGTTTGGCTATAACACCAAACACAGAGTTCTGAGTGCTGGAATAATGCAATAAAAAATAAATGATCATTCATTTAAATTTGTCCGGAAATTTGAAACAAACATGAGTGTAAGTGTCTTGAGTGAGTTAAATGTGCTGCCCAGGCCGCAGAGCAGCCTGGTCTTGGGGAAAGTATGTAGACAAAGTCTGACTGCTTCCTCGGAGCCTTTCATGGAAAAGGGCCCTTGCCAAGCGCAGCTGGCATGTGCAGATGGTCTTTCTTAAAGAGCACTCTTGTAAAGGGCAGCCCTGACTCCACAGCACCATGTACATGCTTAGATGCTTCATGCAGCAAAGACTTCAGTGATCCTTAAATTTAAAACTTCTGCGGTCACAGGGGACCATTACTCAAGAGGTCAGACTACATAGCCATAACACAGACCTGAAAACCCTCATTGAGCAACTTCCTGCTGTTTGAATTAGAGTACATTTTTAGAAAGCCATTCAGCCTTGCCTAAACTCTAGAAGTGACCAAGAACCCAGCATATCGATTTAATTACAGTATGTTAGTTTTATAAATAAGGGAGGGGAACGGGCTTCCTAACTCAGACAGGACATATACTGTGCTCTGAACTTAAAGCATTGCTCCCCTTCAGCATTTGGGGTTTTTCACAGGAAAATTTAAGTTCACTGTTCAGATCCATCTGCCAACCCTGGCTGACCCCAGGTTGTGAGAACTGAAGTGCTGAGGAAGCGGAGAGACATTACCCTGTGCTTAGAGGATTAGTACTGTTACAAAGTCGAGCATTAAGAGGAGCCTTAATATACAACTTTAAAAACGCAGCAGCCCGGCAGTGTGCAGCTGGACACCCCACCCTGCTGAAAGGTGGTGATCCTGCTGGAAAGTATTTTGTGGGTTTTGCTGACTCACCGGAGCCGCTGGCTGCTGTCCCTTGCCAGACAGAAGAGAAACAAGGGATGCTCTCAAGCCATGTGTGTGTGTGGATCTGCGTGTGCAGAGGGATAGGCAGCCTTGGAGCTGAAGGCAGGCAGCCTGTGGAAAAGGTTCATCCTGCCCTTTCCTCAGTTCTCATGCCTTGTGTCGACCGTCTGCAATCAGACCGAGAGGAGGGGACCTTCCTTCTGACACTCAGCGTTGCTGTTCTGTTCGGAGCTGGTTATTGCAGTGCTTGGTTAGCAGCTGGTATTTTCAGATGTGTTACATTATCTCTTCTGCCACAGATGTAGATGAATGCCAGCAGCAGTCACTGTGTGTGAATGGACGCTGCAGGAACACAGAAGGGTCTTTCAGATGTATTTGCAGCCAAGGTTACGTGTTAGCATCTACTGGAGATCAATGTGAAGGTAAGGTTGTAGACTTAAGGTACTGTTTTCTTTGCCTTTTTTTTTTTCCTCAGTAAGATCCTAAATATTTCAGCCTTAGAGACAAATTCTTTCAAGGATGAGGCAGAATGATATATTATTCCTTTTTTTTTTTTCCTGAGTACTTTGCCATTTAATGGGCTCTGCCTACACAGAGACATTCTCAGTTTCCCAGAAACAGACCCTGATAGCCTTAAAAATAAAGGAAATCAGCATCTATGTTTCTTAGTGTAAGAGCAGGAGAGCAGTTGAGTGTCCTTACCAAGAGCAATCAAGTCTCTTCAAAGCTTGTTATTCAGATTCTGACACAGAGATCTCAATTACAAAAGTTTCTGTGGCCTGCACTGTTGGCATGAGGGTCTACTTAAGTTAAAGCTTCTCCAGCTGGTAGCCAGCTCCAAGCTGTATCCTCCACCACAATCCCAGTTGTGCATTGGCAGGACACACATAGTGTGAATCTACTGAAGATCACAACGTCCACTGTTTGAGAAGGCAGCCTGCATTATGAAACAAAAAAGGAGAGGTGAAAGATGTAAAGCAAACATAGGGAGAAATATGTTACAGAAAACAGCTATTTATTTCAAGGATACTCCCTCTCCTCTATCCCATGTCTTGGAGCCTTCTGAGTTCACRCTGCTGGCTGTACCACCCAGATATATTACTTAAGTTGGAGTCACTTTTGCTGTTCTATTCCTGATCTCCCTCAGCTTGCGAGATCACCCACCAGCCAGCTCCAGGACAGATTCTACCTCAGTTGCTTCCTTATCTCCTACCCCAGGGAAAAGAGCTCTCTGAGTTGAATCACAGAATCCTTAAGGTTGGAAAGGACCTTTATAGAGGTCATCTAGTCCAACCCCCCTGCACACACAGGGTCACCTAGAGCACATGGCACAGGGCTGCTTCCAAGCAGGTTTGGAAGATCTCCAGAGGAAGAGACTCCACAACCTCTCTGGGCAGCCTGTTCCAGGGCTCTGTCACCCTCACTCTTAAGAAATTTTTCCTTAAGTTCCTGTGGAACTTTTGGTGCCTCAGTTTATGGCTGTTTCTTCTAGTCCTATCGCTGCCACCACTGAAAAGAGGCCGCCCCCTCCTCCTCACTGCCTCCTTTGAGGTATTTACAGACACTGATCAGGTCCCCCCTCAGCCTTCTCTTCTCCAGGCTGAACAGGCCCAGCTGATATGCTTCAGTTCAAAACTGTTTGGAGGATCTCAGAAGAACTTAACTTGGTCTTGTCAGAGCTCCTGGCAAAAACCAGCATCACTTGCACCAGCTTTAAGGAATGTAGATGGATACCAGCCCTTGACACTCATGTGCTTTCATCAGGCTTCAAGCTTTCATGATCAGAGTCCCACTTCTTGGGTTCTTCTGGCAGACTTCAGAGATCTTGACAGCCAAAATTGCCCTRGACATGCCCTGGTGAAGGGTTACAAAAGGCCTAACCACCTCAAGCAATCGGAGATAAGTTACTCTCTCAGGTTTTTYTCTGGGATTCTTGTGTAGGAACCATAGGAGCTGAGTTGTGAAGAGCTGTGTCAGAGAAGGAAGGTTTGTGTCATATATCAAAATAATGCATTTTGACTGTACTTGRCAGAAAACATCTTCGTGTTGTGGGGCTTGGCATTAAATCAGCGTGAGGGAGTTGTTAATTTTTTCTTATACTCCCAGTTAAAATTAATTGCTGGTTTAAATAAACCACAATTTATTTCTCAGTTGAAACTGATTTTTTTTGAAGAGCCACAGCTTTACCCGAATTAAGTGTCGTTTTATCTGTAATAACATTCAGTTACATAAGAAAGTTATCTTTATTTCATAGTTTTTATCTAATATACTGAATCTCAAGAACAGTTGAGTTTTGATGTACAGAGTGAGCTTTCCAGAGATGAGCTTTTTGATTTCCAGAGTGAGCTTTTCCAGTGTAGAAAAAAGTTCTTAACATTTTTACTTGCTATTGTTATTAATTCCTGCAAAGCAGGAAATGTTACAACTCTAATAATCTAAAATCTATCCTTAAGAAGTCAGAATAATCAAAAAAAAGAGGTGGAAAAAACCCCCTCTTTGATGATTTTTTTCAAAGGAAACAAACTGACTTATCAAAGCAATAGACCCAATTAATTGTAGGCAGAGCACTGTGGACACGAGAATGTTCCTTACGAGCTGTTTCATTTATCCATTTTTTTTTAAATTTCTGATTGTTTTTAACTAGTGGTATCTTTAACTTGCCATACCTTGACATCCCCGATGGGCTGTCTGCTGGAAACCAGCTGGACAAGTGCATTCATAGGACCCTGTTTTTTAACTCTGTGGTATCTTTAGCTTCAGTGGAACAAAACTGCCTAATATCACTGAAACATAGGTACCCGCTGAGTTGATCTTGCACCAGAAAACTGTGAGCTCTCCCCTCTCCTGGGGTTGTCTTTAAACCCTTTGAAGATGATAGAAGAGACTGTAGGTGGTGTCMTTGGAATTATTTCCATCAGTTTCAGTGTTTTGTGGAGCAGATACTGCTGTATAATGAGCAGAGCTGCCTTGAGTGTAGTGTGGCTGTGATGAATCGCACACCTACAGGATCTGAATCATGGTGTGGTTTTGTTAGCTCTGGTTTCAAAACCTTTCAGCTGCCCAGCAGGGAAAAACGTACTTAGAAAATCCTTGGATGGACAGCACAGGAAGACATTTTACAGGAGGTCACCAGGGAAGAGTGCTGTGATTATATATGCTCTAAACATGAAATACCATATATGTTTTAATGCAAACATGGAGAATGTTTTTTAACAAAAAAAATATTGAGAAAGATGTAAGTATTCTGTTCCAGAGATACTCGATTGCTTTCTGTGCAGTGTGTATCCTGAAACCGGCCCTGCTGGTGTGTCGGGCAGCGTTTATCCCACGGATGCTGAGGAGCCGGCTCTAGCTCCTGTAGACCTGACGCTTGGTCCTGGGAACATGGCACGTAGGCAACGAGGAGCTAGGCCTGGCTCTTGAGCTGGGTTTATGTCGTGGATATGGGCGGCTCTATGCAAAAGCCACTTGCTGACCCACGTTGCTAAGCCTGCAAATGCATCGTGTGAACTGCCTCGGAAAAAGCAACCGTTAGCACAGCTGCATAGGCAGAGAGCGCYGCGACCTTGGGATCCTCTTCCTGCGAGGCAGGATCTGTGCTGATGTGACACATGAGCACGTGAGCTTGCACGTGCTCTGGAGCACATCTGAGTCAGGGCATTTCCAGCTCAGAGTTCTCTGCATGGTGGTATAAATAAGTCCAAAACTGCAAATATGTATCACTAGACACTTTCTGTATGTGTGTGTGTGTCTGGCTTCCAAATGTACAGCTGCTTGGGTTCTCTTGTCATTCATAATACTTTCACACCACAGTCACTGCTAAAGTAGGGAAGACGTTTGTATGAAGACCTGTTGSGGTGGCTTTCACTAGAATAAAGAGGGCACATGTTATGTGTGCTTGCTTGGCACACAAACTCAAATTTTGGACTTTTCTAGAAARGCAGAAAGTGTAAGAACGTAATGAAAAAGCAAACGCAAAGACATTCACAAAGTGTAGAAAATTTCATTTCCTTCAGCTCCTCCCACAGTAACCAAAGGTAACTGGAGCTTCAAGTTGCTACATTAGATCAATATGTCACTATTATGTTCAATGACTTTTTTACGTCATCTGATTATTYGGTTATACCTTTGTTTCAGATGTTGATGAATGCCTTCAGGATGGTGATATTTGCTTGGGAGGAAACTGCGTGAATACTGCAGGGTCCTATGAATGCACTTGTCCAGCTGGTTTCCAGCAGACAGCCCATCGGGGATGTCAAGGTATGGCATAGCTATAAAAAAATACATGGATTGTCACTATGAATATGCAGCCTTATAAGTGTAACTTGTGAAAGTCACAGGAGAAGGAGAAGAAAAGGAAAACCTCATGTTGCTATGATCTCTAGTGCATTTTTTCCCTTTCTCTCACTTAGTGTTGTAAATATATGCTGAGAAACTATTTCAACAGCTTTAACAGAAAACAGGTTTGTAACACAAAAGAAAATTTAGGTGATGATGCAGGATACAGTGCCACATTTTCCCTTCTCCATCTGTGAACCCATGCCTTAGGAGACAAGGGCAGTCTAGCTAGTGCCAAGTCATATTTGGAAAACCTCTCTCCACTCTTCAACCTTCTGTGGTGAAAGGGGAGGAACAGAATCTGTTATCTGAGGCTAGTTGGACATTGTCAAATCCAGAGACACTTTCCAGCTTTTAGGTTTCAATGATCCCAACTCCATGCTGGCATGAGATCCAAGCAAGCCTCAGGACTCCCATGTACTTACCCATTTTTATGWGGGGAAAAAAAATACATGATACTAGAGCTGGAAAGAAGTGGTATTATGGTCCAGGCGTGTTTGAGCTCTGATTGACTGGAGGACAAGACTGGACTGTGCTTTGGCTCTTCTCTTATAGCACTGTTTAGACTTAACCAGAGAGGCTGTATTCCAAGTAATTTATGTTGAAAAKCTTCTGCAACCAACGCCCTGTAGAGTTGCTGAGCAGTGTATGTGACTGCTTTCAAATTCATAAAGTCTTGCATTCAGCATAGCAAAGTGCTGCATTAAACACTGCTTTAGCAGATAAGGGAGAATCAATCGCAGGCTATAAATCCTTGCAGACTTTGATGCTACTCTGCAATCTTCACTCTGCTATGTAAGCAATGTACTTCACAAAACTGAAAGCACTTACTAGGTACTAAGCACAACTGAGGGACCGATAATATTTTTAACAGAAAAGAATGTGAATAAAAATTGGAAAATATTTTAGATAGAAGATCCACACCTGAAACAAAAGATCTCCCTCCCCCAGTAATATAGTATAGTATAGCAGTAATTTGCTATAGAGGGGAGTGGAGCTGCTTGAGAAACAGCCAGACCAATAGCAAAGCAAATAGGAGAGAGGAGGAGTTGATGCTCTGACAGCAGGCAATCTAGAAATGCAAAAACTGGACACAGCAAAAGAACACACAAGACTCTGTGGCTAGCAGAACTAAGTACAGCTGCCCTTTTTTTGCACTGTTAACTACCTGCTGTTGAGCTGTTACAGGATCTTACAGTAGCATTTTTGTTAATGCAGAAAATACAGAAATCTGTGATAAATGTTCTTGTACCATATTTGGGACTGGACAAAAACTAGACATAGTCATATCATGATTAATTCTTTCTAGCAGTGTTTTTGATGGATTTTCCACAGCMACAACTAAGCTGAAACATTTTAAAATTGTTGAAATTTACTTCTATCATTTGCTGTTTGTAATAGCAAATAAATAAAATTGTTGTGGGAAAAATTTGAACAGAGATATTAGGGTCATGATAAAAGGTTAAGATCCCAGAGTGCAAGTAAAGAGCTATCTGGATCGAGTGGTACATTTTGTGTGAGGAAACCATATGCATGTTAATACAAGCAAGTATTTTCCCAGCTGGAGAAGGGGTCTCGGTCCTGCTTGTAGGATAGCAGACTTGCCAGTCCGGGAAGGATTTAGGGGTCAGAGTTACCCCAGCTAAAGGCGAGCTTTCAGTGCAGCCCTGYGGCCAGAAGGACTAATGCACTCCTCACAAGGTACAAAAAGCAGAGTGTTCAGCAGCAGAGAATAGGATTTATCTACTTGTGTCTTGCACTGAGACACCTGCTCCTCTCCTRTCGCTGTGCACTGAAGTTCTGGTGCCCACTGTTCAAAACAGATGCTCCTCAGTTGAGGAGAGTTCGGACATGAACCCCCAAAAGGCTAATGGCCTGGGATGAAAAGTTTTAAATTATTTTAAGCTGTTCTTTTTGACAAAATTAGAACATGAGGGGTGTCTTGACCACAGCAGAACTACCTGCTTACCTACCTCAAAGGAATCATAATTGGAAGTTCTTGGCTAGCCCTGGCAAATGTCTTGTAGACWCAGTATCTGCAGAGCTGAGCTGGTTTAGGCTAGAAGTTATGAACGTGCATTTTGTTAAGAAGCAAAATGGAAATAACAAGCAGAAAAAGAGTCCAAAACTTTAGCAAGTACACAGGCAGATTGCTTCTCAGATATTGGAAACCCTGTTTCCCTAACATTTAAATTTGTTTACTTAGTTTTCAGTGCATCTTCCTGGTCTTGTGTAATGCACAGTTTTGGTTTCCAGTATTTTTATAGCAGTTTTAAGAAGCATTTGGGACCTTTCCTCATCAGCAGAAGACAACATTTGACTTTAAATTGTGTAAAATAAACTCATTGCAAAAGATGCAGCTCGAGGCCTGTTAGCAACASGCGAGGCTGGGTGCAAAAGTTGACCAGCATACAGATAGCAAAAAGCAGTGCAATGGAGCCATCCAAAAATTTCCCTAATGCAGAGGATGTTTTAGCTAATGCAGAACTTCTGCTGACATCTCATGTATTATTCTCATCTGCTCAGCCTCGTTGCAGCATGACATAGGCAGAGTGATACAGCAAAATGTGTCCATGTTCATACGGAGCTCAAAAATGGTCCCAGAAGGTTTGGTCCTGATTTGGAGCACCATTTACATAGCTGATGGAAATAAAAGCTGCTTTTAAGACTGCTTGAACTTAGGCCTAGTATTAAATATTAGAATGATTCCTATTACTTTTTGCTGTTCTTTTGTCTTTTTCTAGTAGGTCAGGCTCTGCTAGCCAGCAGAAAATCTGGTGTTCGCTCATGTTAAGCTAGTTGTTGAGCAGTTGTATCCATGACTGAAAATAAATTATGCCAATGAGAATGCAAATAAATTGGAATCACAAATTATTTATGAAAATAAACTAKGTTGATGCCAGCCTTGTTCTGTGGCAAAGTCTGTTAGAAGCAGAATACTTCCATGTTACTTAATTTAAAAAGATGAGATTTTTACCTGATAGAAGCAGACAGGAACTAATTAATAATAAATTTTGCAGTAATGCCTATTAGAATAAGTGCAAGGAAGTGCCTTAACGAAGGGTTCTGCAAGCCCTTCCCCTCTGTGTGCTTTCAGATGTCAACGAGTGCGAGAGGTCTGACCTGTGCKCTCCGCACGGCGAGTGCCTCAACACGGCCGGCTCCTTCCGCTGCGTCTGCGAGCGCGGCTTCTCCGTGGCTCCCGACGGCCGCGCGTGCCGAGGTGAGGAAACCCCCCACCCCCCGTGCTGCGGGAGTGTCCCCGGCATTCCCACTGAGCTCCTCACGCTGCTTGGATGGGTGCCTTGGACCTCTTGGCTCCAAGATTCCCAAACCTTTGTCAGTCCAGTACTGTGCCACGTGCAAAACTCTCTGCCCGTTTTCCTCTTCAAAGCGTGGCAGGATATTTTGCTGTCTGTGTAGTGAGGAGGGCAATGGCAGTCTGCAAACTGGACAGCGTAACGGAGTTAGTGTTTGTTAGACACTGTTTTCTTTCAGCAATTTTGCCAGCTTAGCATTGAATTATATATTTTTGGGGTGTTTGTGCAAAACAAATTAATGAAATAGAGGGAATGCTGACCAGACTCTGGCAAATGGTTGTAAAGAAGGGAGCTCTGTACCTGCATTAAGAGGCATGTAACCAGTGGACATCTGTAATAGTATGTGAATCTATTCAGAAATGGAAAGATATTTCTGTCTTATCCTGAGAGTGGAAGGAAGGAATRCATGCAGTATATATGTAAATGGAGTTTGGTGCACGGGGGCCTGGTATATTAAAGTAGGTAGCCTTTACTGTCAAAAATATTTAGGATCAAATAACCGAAGGCCTCTTAAGTGCATTAGCAGCAAGCCTGACCTGCCTGAGCGTTCTGGTTGCTGTTTGTGGAAACACCAGACCACAGGTATTTTTCACACAAAGTTGTGTGAAACTGGTTAGAATCAGATCATTGGTAAGATATTGTCATCCATGAGCCTGAAATTTAGATGTACCTACAGTTTTCTCTTTGGTTACAGCATGAGAAAATGTCCCGGGGCTGAYTGAAAGCACCGCTTGCTAGTGACACAGCTCTGCTGCACTTAATTTAAAACAGCAGGCTAGTGATCAATGATAGCAAGCAGATATGTGGCTTTTTGTGGTCAGTGATGCTGACAGAAAACAAAAATTTCCCCTAAATGGATGAAAAAATGTTTTCTGCTGTGGAAGAGAGGGGCCTTCAAGGCAAGCAGCCTTGCGAAAACCTTGCAGTGAACAATTTAGAAGGGAGAAACAAGTCCTGCAACAGTGGATATGCAGAGGAAGAGTCCTGGGCAGAYGGCTAATATCTATGAGCAGTGAATCTCCAGCACTCAGCAGTAGGCCGGTAAGCTGCTCTATATCCTGAGTTGCAGGTCACCTGATGTGAATGGCATTGATTTTTCATGAGTCTACTCTTCATATCAGTTCATTTAGGGCAAGCAAAAAGAGGCTTCCTTCAACTTGGAACATGTATTGAAACTTTCTGCCCCCCTGCTTTTATCACAGGAAAAACAACGTTATTATTTGAGCTGGCACATAACTGGCTATATAATAACTTCCTGATATAATAACTGATGGAATGAAATAGTTATGCTGATGTAAGGGACTGAGTGCTATGTATTTAGATATAACATGATATCAAACACACTTCTTATGTCCTAACTGCTTATTGATATCTTTAAAAAAAGTCCAGCAGTGTCTTTGGTGCTGTTTCGCCCGGAACATTTACGTTATTTTTCAGTCATAGGATAAATTCCCAGGAACATTCTCCTAGTGCTAAGAGGGAAGCCTGGGTAGGTGTGCTGGGGAGAGCGAGTTTGAGCAGCTCCAGGGAGGGATGGACAAGGCAGTGTGTCATGGTTTCAAGCCATGAGAATAATTCTAACTTTTGTGATGCCCAGTTGTTACAAGCACATCCGTGGTCTCTTTTGGCAGAGTCAATACATTTCACTCAGTGTTTAGGGRGGACGTGGTTAAATGTATTCAGTTTCTCAGCAAGAAAACTAGTAGCAGGTGTTTTGCTTCACTGCTGAGCATATTTAAAAATATATATATTTATAGGCAGAGAAGAATGCAGCCTGCCCTTAGAAACCAAACTCTTTACTCCAGACCAAAGTTAGAAGAACTCTTATTAAGCATGTGAAATGGAAGTCTCAGAAATTAAAAGGGCAGAACCGAACAGAAATGCAGCTAAAGAAGGCCGTGATACCTAATCTTAGGGGAACGTAGCAGAAAGGATGTGCCCTGCCTTGGCCTGAATSCCTGGCAGTTAATGAGGAAGTTCCATCTCCATGTGAGGAAGAACTTCTTTCCTGTGAGGGTGCCAGAGCCCTGGTGCAGGCTGCCCAGGGAGGCTGTGGAGTCTCCTTCTCTGGAGATCTTCCCAACCCGYCTGGATGCCGCCCTGTGCCACATGCTCTGGGTGTCCCTGCTGGTTGGACTAGATGATCTCTAGAGGTYCCTTCCAACCTCAACCATCCAGTGATTCTGTGAAGCAACGCCGTTCTCAGGGAGGGGTTTCCATCGCAGGGGGAAGGTAGTGAGAAGTTAATCTCAGAACAAAAAAGACAATTTTACTGAACAGAGAAGGATGAAAACACAAGGTGTATTTCCAGGAGTGCGAGCAGTTTGAGGGCCTTTTTAATGAATAAAACAACAAGTACAAAACCAGTTGACCGTGCTTCGTAAGTAATTGGTGGTGTGTATGGAATACACATCAGACTTTATATGCAGCACTTGGAAAAGTATTTTAATAACTTGGCGAATCAAAGCCATTTCTAGTCTTGTGAAGCAGCAATATTTCTGTGGTGGCTCATTTCTCCATTCTGTCATTTTAATAAAAACAATTACAGAGTTGAAAAAAACCATCCCTTCAAGGGAGCACCGATGACTGCAGTGTTAATATTTGCGCCGGTGTCYGTGACAGGAGTCGGCTTGGTGCGASAAGACRAGACAAAACGCCAAGGTCGGAAAGGAAAGGAATGCGTGACATTCCAGGTGCTGAGAAGGGATGCGGCKTCCAGCCGTGGGAGCTACTGGTGCTTGTCCTAGGTGCCTCTGTGAATTTACTCCTAGTTAAGTGAGTGAGAATAACTGTTTATACCATCAGAGAAGGAACTTGAGGAAATTTTGCCGGGTTCAGCTGCCTCTCTGTACCTGGGGAGCAGATTTTTCCATATCTCCAGATTGTTTTTGTACGAGCTTGAATCGGTGGTGGGTTTTTTTTTTTTTTTTTTTTAAAGACAGAAACAACAACATAAAACATTTAAGCACCCCGTGTGATTCAGTTCTGGAGCCTTCTGGCTGTTGGCCCGAGTAAACTCCACAGCTGCGGAGACTGTGTCGTCTTCCAGGGCGCGGAGCAGCCGTCGCTGCAGCGGTGCCGGCGCCGGGGAGGCCGCCGAGCTCCCATGGGGCCGGGACCCCCTGTGCCCCCCTGGCGGCCGCCCCCTCTGCTGGCCAACGCTCGGGGTTCGCTCGCCCCCCACCCACCCCACTGGCCTCTTCTGTCTCCATGCCCCATGCCGTCCATCGCTCCGTGGCTCCCTCACTCTCCCTGCTCCAAGCCCTCCTTCATTGCCTGCCTCCGCAGAGGCACCCCAAGAAACTTGCACACCCCACATGGRCTCTCCACCCTTGCCTTCATCCTTTCCTCTGCCCTCCTCGCTTGTATCCCGTTCTCCTGTCCTAGTCCACTGAGTGCTGTCCCGTTGACCTTTCTGGATGGTTGCGTGAGGAATAGATCGCTCTGTGGTCAAAGAATAATTTGGAAATCCATTCGCAAAAATGCTGCGTTGTTCTTCGTTTAAGATAACTGCCTACTTAAGAAGTTTGGAAATCAGGGACACAGAGAGCAGAGCTGTGTATCCCAGAATCCCAGAATCCTTGAGGTTGGAAGGGACCTCTAGAGATCATCTAGTCCAACGGTACCTAGGTGCTGGCTCTGCAGCCAAAGATACTTTGAGACAGTAGATGTCTGCCCATGCTGTGTATTGTACATCGTGGCCTTAGTTCTGCCCTGGTGGGGAAGGCAAGGCAGTTTTAGGAAAAAGGTGTGGGAAGACTCTGTGCTTTCAATAGGGCTCCTTTTGGGGCAGAGTATTTTCTGTTCTGTGGAGTACATTTTGTGCTGTAGACCTGTTTGGTTTCACCAATTCAGTGTTTTATCCATATACTGGATAGAGAAGTAAGAACACAAATGGAAGAAGGAGAATCTTTTCCTTAGAAGGAGAATCTTTTCCTTACTGTCACCAGCACCATGAGAGCTCTGTTGTCCCGGGCGCTGTACAGAACCGTCCTAGCAAATACTCCCTCTTCCAGAGTATGGATTCAGTGAGATGCAGCTGTGTCTGAAGCACATCAGGCCTTCATCCTGCCTGGGTTGGCAGAAACCAGGAACGTGGTTGATGTTGAGCTGCATAGGAATAGTCTTTGAATCCCGTTAAAGGTTTTGCCTTTCGCTAGAGCCTGACAACGTGAGATCAAAGCAGTTCTGATTAAAGGCGACAGCACTGAGGCATGGGTTCTAAAGCAGGTCATAATTGCAGAGAGCTGCTTTAGTCACCGTATAGACACAGGGCATATAGGATTTGTATTTAGTTTTTCCCTTCCCTTTGTCTCCATATAGCAAGGGAATTGCYGATTCCGAACCTCTTGCTTTACAGGCCGATTAAAGAAACAAATGCCCTTTCCTGCTATAAAACAGGAGTCCTTTGAGCGAGCTGTCTAGACAAGGGAAAATATTTGGTGCTTGGACCTTCTCTGTAATTTCCCAYGCACTGAAAGATGCAGTCATGGTCAGGCTGTGTATTTTTTTAAAAAACAAAGCTATCTTCTGTGGCTATATTATATACTTAATTAGGACACTTGCTACAATGATGGGTTTTGTTTCTGCAGCTTTTCAGTCAGTGACCTTAGTTTACCTTTGGAGAACCAGCTGCATGATCCATTCCCCTGTTTTCTTAAACATTTAGCTATTAAGTAAGGAAAGTACTGTAATTCATGTAATTCTAAAATCCCCAGTTGTCATTTTTTTTCTGTCTAGGCTTTTAACAGGATAACTGTCCTGTGGCTCAGGAACTTCTGTTATTAAACTGTAATTGGTCCCTGGAAATTCAAGCCCTGCATTATGGCCTGCTTTATTAAATTCCTCGTTGTCAGTCCTCCACTGTTTACTCAGTTTGAATTCCCTTTCTTAACCATTTTTTCCTGTGTAAGAAGTATAGTGTTAGCATTTTTTTGAGCAGATACATGAAACTCTTAATGATCTCGGGATGCTAAAATCTAAAATAAAAAGGCAGGTCTAGGGCTCAGTAGCAAGAGGGGGAAGGTCAGAAAAGTGCAAGCACAAAAGCTAATGCAGAAGTTGTATCTTGCACTTGCTTTGGTTTTCCCAGTAACTCCATATGCGTCTTTTTATAAGTCTGTTATTATAGTGACTGGCAGAAGATAGGGTGTCAAGTGTAATATTTTGCTTGTCAGCCTTGCCGGTGTCTCTTTAACTCAGACAAAATGGCTAAATTAGCAAAAACAGCTTGTTTAATTCTCCGAGGGAGAGTTTACGGTGGATTTCAAGTTCAATATACAGGAACTAGTCAAATTTTCTCATTCACTTCTTTCAGAACAAACATATTTGCTTATGCATTCTCTGTGAAATACAAATAACCCTTTTTAAGATTAATTCCTTCAATATTTTTCCCTTCACCTGTTTAATAAATCAAGATATAATGAGCATGAAAAACCATTATTGGTAAAACTAGCAAAGCAAATACAGTATTATTCTGCCAGTTCTGTCCTCGAGTACAGTTTTTTTAAAGATCATCAGTACAGCCCTGGATGTTTCCTAGATGTCAGTGTATGTCATACATATGTTTTCTACATGAACCTTGCATTTTAGCTGAAGGTTGTGAACCAGTGCATGAGCTTGGTAAGAGGAGAATTTTCCATCATTCAGTATTAAAATGAAAGCGGATGCCTTTCTGGAAAAAAAGAAAAAAAAAAAAGCTGTAATTCTGCAATTTACTCTGTTGATACAGGAGATACCATTTTGTTGCATTTGTAACCTGTGCAAGAGGTGAGGTATGTGGTGGATGTTAGTGGATGCAGCCTCTTCCAACCTTAGGAAAAAATAAAGGAGAAAAAACAGCCGGAGCAAATAGTAAAAGAGAACCAAGAGCTGGCTTTTAGTTGAGCTTCAGACACGGCCTAAGAACAAAGGGATCCTGCCTTAGTAGTCTCGGTCAGAAGCGGAATGAGCTGGGTCTGTCAGCGGCCGGGGGAGCGGGCAGGGTGGCACTCGTGCCCTGCTCTTTGCTTTCCAAAGCACCCTGCAGAGCGGAGCCGTTCCCCGCGCAGGGAATTCCTCTGCCTGGCAAGGCGGGACTCTGGAGCGCAGCGAGCGCCTAAGGCCTTTGCTGGAGGCAGGGTGGTGGCAGGCTCCAGCCCCGGAGGCTGGTCGTGCGAGGGACGCGAGGGACGTGCTGCCTTTCTAACCGGTTGCATCTGGGTGCGTTTAAAGGGCCCAGGCCGGAGGTTCTTCAGAGAGGACAGCAGCTCTGCTCGACACTCACAGTGGTTTCTAGGAAAGAAGCGTAGAAAGAAGAGCTCTGCTTCGACYTGCAGAGGAATTTAGCAGGCACAAGGCACTAATCCCAATATCTCGGCTAGATGCCAGTTGGGGTTAATGTCCTTCCTTCTGAAAAACACACCGTGTCATCTTTAACGATCACAGCCAGCCAGGGCCTTGCTTATAGGTCTTGTTTCAGCAGAAGACAAATATATTCACAGCACCTGCAACACACTTGCAGAAATAAACCTCGTTCTGCCACAAGCAGCTCCGCTTGGTGGGCAGCTGCGTGGAGAGCAGGTCTGCTCACGCAGTGACCTGGCTCTTAAGGGCAGCAAACCCCAAATGAGAGGCACAAACGAAGGGCCGGCACAGCATGGAGGCTTTGCAGTTGCCTCCCCTGCCTGCGTACGGCCCTTCATTCATGGGAGTTTATAGGATTATGGCCAGGAGGCTCAATCTGCAGGTATTTACCGCTTCACACGTGTGCTGAGAAATTCTCGTCCGTTTTATGCAGCACATAAAACCTTCGGCCCCTGTTCAGCACTTGTGCACGAGGGGTGTAAGCAGCTGCATGGGGTTTTCTGGTGGGCGCTGAGCGCAGAGCTCGGGGCACCCGTGTTGCTGGCTGTTAGGCAGTGCTGCACTGGCAGATTCTGGAGGGAAGTCACACTAATATYGTGTAAAAGTGTTCCGTGGGATGAAGCATCACATCGCCATTGGGCAGCTTGTAAATATGGGGGGAAGGATTGGACCAAAATAATTGTCTGATATTTTCCTGTAAAGTTGACATTGAAACAATTTAGCTTGTTGTACAGGTGTTTCCTTTAAATCTTGGTGTCTCGCTTGGCGTTTCCCTTCCCGTGCGCAGCCCCCGCTCTGCTGCCTTCCCCGCGCTGGGTTAGCGCRGCCGCGGCGCGGGGCCCGCGTGACGCTGAGCTTCTCCCTTGCAGATGTGGACGAGTGCGCGAACAGCAGCGCGTGCGGCAGCCACGGCTTCTGCGAGAACGTGGACGGCTCCTTCCGCTGCCTCTGCTACCAGGGCTACCAGGAYGCCCAGGACGGGCACGGCTGCACCGGTGCGTCCCTGCAGCCGCCGCTGCTGCATCCCGGCAAGGGGAACGCGGCCCAGAGCACCAGGCCTGGCCGCACAAGAGCCCCTTTGTTTTGCCACCGGGGTTATTTTGTCCGATTCGTGCCCTGCTCGCTAGTAAAATAAGGTTGAGCTTGTGCTTTTCCTTGCCGAGCTTTGTGCCAGGTGGAAGCGGACTGGGGAGTTGCTTAGTGAAGACCTGTTATTAGAATTGAATGGAAACCAACAGTAAATAAGCTGAGCCGCTCATTTTAACTCAAAAAAAAAAAAAGGGAAAAGAAAGCCCACTATTTCTGCACATGTCAGGACCATTCACAAATATAAATCATGGTGGATTGAATTTAATACTTCAGCCTGTTTAAATGCAACATCTGTTTAGTCTCTTAGCGGAATAACCAGAACTCTGTACTACCTCCTACAGGAAATAAAGTCTGGCATGTGGTGCAGCCAGTCTGAATTAGACAGCACACCTCCCTAGGCATATTGTGTTTGAACAGGATTTAACGTTGGCTTCCATCTCCAGGAAAGACACCTATCGCCCTGAAAAGATGTGAGATTTTTGTAAATGTGTAAATACCRCACGTTTCTCTTGTGAGTAATAGGTTTCCAGATCTGTTGTTAATAGTGATGGTTGGACCTGAGAACCATCTGAGGCAGCACAAGTTTCTAATATAAAATTAATACCAGATCAAGGAAAGGTATTCATTAAGCAGTGTATTCAAGCTGGAGTCAGGGTGGAACATGTTTACCAGGARCACAGAGCTAAAGGGAATACAGAGCAAGTGAAGGAGGTAGAACTCATACAAAAGAGTGTGTGTGTGTTTTCTAATATATTAAATTAGAATTTTTATTACAAAATTCTTTAGGCCTTTAGGACTTGGTTTTGCAACACACAGATGTATGTGTTTGCATATAATACCTTCTTCAGGAAAAACAAATTAAGGAAAAAAAAGAAAAACAGAAAGTACAAATTGGTAGAAGCTAAATTTAACTTTGAGTTGCTTGTAAAACAATTTTACATTGTTAAATAATGTCAGGTATTTTTATGATTTGGGGAACACAAAACCCTGAAGCACACCTACAAATGATGATGCCTGTTGTTTAGCAAAATGCTTTAAGAAAAGCATAAATCTGAATAGTTAAGCAACATGCCCCAAAGAATATTTCATTTTTTTCAGTCTGAATTCAGTAAAAAGATTAAGATGTATTTTAAAAGTCCTGAGCAAAGTATCACATTAAAGTATATATTTTTATCATGTATCCATAACTCATCATTTGATCATATGGTTAGGTTTTTGTTCCTACTGGATAAGAGAGAAAGGGCAAAACATTTCCTCACAAATTATACTTTAGACTCAACTCAGATACATATGTAGCTCTGAATTTTGATTTATGAATTATAATTTTCTAATTCTATAYTTATCAAAGTAAATAGTCACAGATAAACTATAGTAATAAAAAACAAGGCAAGTTAATCCTGAATATATTTCATAAGCCTTGCTTAGGTGACAGAAACTCTCCTGTCAGTCCGAAGTGTTTTGGGATAGACTAGTCCGGAGGCAGGTGAAAAAAGGCAAAGATCAGAATAAATTGGATCCTTTTGGATGCTTGCCTCAGCTGTGAGGACCATTTACCTGGGGTGGTCCTGCTGTCCAGGGGCRGAGCTGGGAAATAACCCTCGTGGCCTGCAGAGCACCCGAGAGGCCTCCCCTGTGCGGGCTGTGCGGCAGAGCCGAGCCCAGGGGGTGTTCATGGGGAAAACGGGATTTAGAGGCGAAAAAGGAATTCTCTTTTCATACTGAATTCTGCTGACACCTACCCATTTCACTCCTTGATTTCAATGAGCGTTTGATAATAAGGAGAATGGGTTGGTTACAAGAGCTGTTTACAGAAACACTAGAAAGTTGTTTACAAAACTCCCCGGAAAAGAAGTGAACAAAAAAAAAAGTTTTTTAAAATAAAAACAAAGAAATTGGTATTCACAAGCAGCAGATTTATGGAACCATAGAATCAGTATGGCTGGAAAAGATCTTCAAGATCATGGAGTCCAACCGCAGGTTGGTACTGCAGAGCAGCACCTAATCAGCACTGGTATTTTATAAGCTATTCTGCCTTTCAGGGGCCTTTATTTCAAAGGACCTAAATRCTTGTTTATGAGTCCAGTTAGGTATTAGTGAGGTTTCAGTCCTTCCCCAGAGATCACGTGTGTGTCCTGGCAGACAACGTTGGCACAGATACAGCAGGTAAAAGAGCAACCTGTCAGGCAYGGTCTTGAGTTGATTTATGCCTATTTGATTCCCCCCCAGACGTGAACGAGTGCGAGATGCTGAGCGGCGTTTGTGGCGAGGCCCTCTGTGAGAACGTGGATGGTTCCTTCCTGTGCCTGTGCTCCGATGAGAACCAGGAGTACGATCCCATGACGGGGCAGTGCCGCTTCCGCCCCTCGCCAGGTAAAGCGCCCGCYGACCTCTGCGCTCCGGGGACCGTTCCCACTCAACGTGTGAAGCTGATTTACATGCTCCTTGTTTTAAACATTGGTTTAACTGCAAAAGAAAAACTTACGAGCTTTCTCTCACTGAAAGCTTGTGTTGGAAGAGGAGTTCCTAGAGTGGGATATGTTATCTGTGAATCATTAGTGAAAATACAACAGAAATACCTTGTAGTTTTGTGCCTTGGCGGTTGTGATGAGCAGTTAGAGCAGTAAAGATGAAATAGTTTTGTTAGCTGTTCTTTAACAATGAAACATGGCATGGAATCAAACCCATGGCATGAATGATTTCTTTTTTTTTTGTTATTCACATTTTTACAAAAGCCTACCAGTGGACTTGGACAATCCTCAAAGGAGTGCATAATTAAAAACAAAATTTGTATGGAGGGATCTGCTCGTAGCATTATCTAATACTAATGTAAGTTCTCAGAAAAAAATAGTTGGGAAAACCAAAAAGGAAAACACTGAACTGTTGTCAGTGTCTTTGAGCACTTCCCTTGGCTGTTTTACTCCGTCCTATTGTTCTTTTTTTTTTTTTTTCCCTACTAATCCATTTGCCTGGATTTATGAGGTTTTGTTATTAAGAGCTTTGGATGCTGAAAATACTATTGGAAATTAAAAATTAGTTCGGAGCTCTCTTAGAGTTGCCTTCAAATGTTTTACACTGGTCCAGTTTGGAGAACAGAACAAAACTTCCAAATAAGGGGCAACAGCACAAGAACTGAAAGAATTGACACRCATGGTATTTGTTCCTCTAGAATGAAGAGAGAAAGAAGAACCTCCCTGGGTTTATTTCTTATTTTGGTCGTACACCACAGACGGGTCTAACCTCTGAATCCCTTTGGGTAACTGGTGGCGGTGCCAGCAGGCCGGCCCCCCAGCTCAGGAGGCCGGGGCTGGTTTCTCCTGTCACTCATCTCTCCCAGACCTGTTAACAAGGCAGAAATCTGTGACCCACGTGCAAGGAGTATTTAGATCACTGGCTAAAGCACTTGGCTGCACTAAGATGTTGCCTGGGAAATATCTTTAACAGCCGACTGACAAACTGCAACCTTTTGCAAATGGCCGCGCAGAAGGTTCGGGCCTGTGGGAGCTCGTGGGAGCCTGTGGGAGCCATGGAGGAAGGCTCGGGAGGAGCCCGCGGGCTGGGGCGGGCGAGCGCTGCGCCTTGGTGCCGCCGCCGCCCTCGCGAGGGAGCTCAGAGCAGCRGCTCCCTCTCCGCGTGTGGCACGTGGCCGGCAGCAGAAGCGGTAACGGGCGCGGTGTTTGGCCCTGCGACACAGCACCATCAGACAGGGGCATCGTGCTGTCCCCTTGCAGAGAGCCGTGGGGGAGCCCCTCATCCTCTGGCTTGGCTAGGCCGCACGCTCGGCTCAGCCCAGGGTGTTTTGGGAGCTCCCTGTGGACGTCGTCTGTCAGCGGGAGCTTCCGTCGCGGCAGCTCTGAGGGAGCGGAGGGCTCGTCTGCGTGCTCGTGTTGCGGGTGTCAGTAGCTCAGTGTGGCGCAGCTGCCCTTTGCTCCTTCCTCCTTCTGTCTTCTTGTGCTGCTTATACATAAAGAAACGTCACTCCGGCTCACACCGAGCACGTGGAAGCGGAATGCCGTTCCCAAAACTGGGTGAAGGCTGTGCAAGCGTAGTGCTGATTTGGGAACTTCTTACCATGTGGTTAAGGGCTGTTGCCTGTGTAGGATGGGCTGGGTGCATCCTTTCCTTGGCTTAGCGTTGGGGACCTAGAGCCTTCCTGCTGTGTGGATGTCACTTGAGGGAAATCCATCTGTACTGGCGGTGTCTGAAAGCATTCCCGCCCGGATCCTTTGCACGGAGTTCTTGCCCACACRGTCTCGTTCCAGTAACAGGCAAGGTAAGCATGCAGGACTTGCGCATCTTGCTTTCTCCTTCCCTATCCTGCCATTCCCCCCAAACATGCAAACAGTTAAGAAGGAAGRAGAGATGAAGGAGGAAAGGAASAGATAAAGGAGGACTTTCTTTTGCATCAGATGAAACTGCTGGACTGTTAGACCACTTTGTAAGTGGGAGAGAAAGGAATGCTACTTTGGGCTTAATAATTCTTCTCATTTGTTCTTTTGATAAGATGCATTAAGCCATTTATTATTAATTCCTAGGACGTACAAACCTCAATGCAGTTTGAATAATTAATCTTTATTAACATGTTTTTAATTATTAATATGCTTTAAAATGTTCTAGTATGCAGCTACATTTACTAGCACATACGATCATATGCATTGAAGCCAGAAGCTAAAAAGGACAGTGTGTTTTTGAGAACAAAATTAGGTGCAATTTAAAGTAAGAACTGCAAGCCAAAAAAGGCACGTGTGAGCATCTGCTGTGAGCAGGAACCTGGCTCACGCATCCAAAGGTCAGTAACAGCAGAAGCTGGGGTTACAACTGAGGCTATAAAAATATTTCCAGTGAGGGACCCGCACTAGGGCACCAGGGCCCACTTCCGACTGCCATTCTGTTGCTTTCTGCTGCTCACCTAAAATGTGATGTATTACTTATGACAAGATGAGTAACAGTATTTACTAGGATTTACAAGGAAAAACAGGTTTTGTTGTCCAAACCTAGTACTAGTTTTCCTAGACTTGCTTCTATCCAAAATCCCAAACCTTCGCCAAGCCCTATCAGCACCACCAAAAAAAAAAAAAAAAAAAGATGCTACCAAAGAAAAGCTGGTAAGTCTGATCCAAAAGCTTCTTTGAGCCCAGAAGTTTAGTGCCCAAGTACAAATTCTGTATTTCCTAATTTCAAGGGTTTCCTAAATGATAAGACTTTAAGGAAAACGGTCAAACTTGTATTTTTTACGGCAGTATGTAGGTATTTCTCCAGGCTCACCGGGGATCTGAATTTCAGCGATATCTGAGCACGCTCATAGTGTTAGTTTTAAACGTGCACCCTGTGCACTGATTCCTGACTTGCATACGTGCGTACCTGTATACCTACATAGGTATATTCAGCTGCCACCAGACAGGAGTCGTGCTTGCCGCAGAGGAAGGCAGCTCCGGGAGCACAAGAGCTCCCCCATGTAAGTGCACGGGGGTGTTTTGACTRTCCTGCTGAAAGTCAGAGCTGGAGGTGCAGGTCACTTGCAGGTTGCTCAACACGCTGTCTGTCCCCAGAGCCCCTGCGGTTTCAGCAGTGCAGAATTTGTTTCCCCCTTTCACGGCCACCCTGGTGACGGCGGCGGAGGCCAAGCAGTGGTGGTGCAGGGCTGCGGCACGTAGGAGATTCCCTGGGCTCTGAGTTTGGGCCTTTACAGAGCCCAGTTGTTGCAGGCCACTGTTTAGCCAAATATTTAAGTTTACACTGAATGCTAAGCATATGCTAATGTCTTGAGTACTYGCTGAGTCCTGTGGCACTAATGCATATTTGCGGTCAAGCACATGCAGAAATATCTCGTTGGATAAGTTACATGAATGTTTATAACCTATTTTTAATTTATGCCTTCTTGGTTTAACTTAGCAGCAACAGAAGCAGAATCTCTTATCCAGACTGYTTATATTTAACAGTCATAACAACAACCCAATTAAATGTTCTTGCTAAGACTGCCTTAGGTAGAGAGATATCTTGCATCTTCTAGCAACAACAACAAAAACCCGTAAATAACCAAAGACACAAATAAATGAGTACCAGTTTCTTGCTGTATTTTGTCAAAACACCTATCAAAAATGCTTTCAAAAGTGATGGGTTTACCAAATGGTCAATAATATGTGAGAGGGAAACGACAAGCTTGTAGACGCAGACTGGCCCTGGTCTAAAGCAAAGCCGGCCCTGYGCAGTTGTGTCTCATTTGCCTTCCAAGGCCTCGCGCCGCCCGCCTCGCTAACCCTGCGCCCAGCTGTGTCAACACGAGGCTCCCAGGCTGCCGGCGGCGGCGGGAGGAGGCAGCGCCTGGAGGTAACGTGGGCAGGAACAACCGCGTGACGCCACGGGCCCTCCTGGCTCCCCACGCTGCTTCCCGGCCTCTTTCCTTGGTAAATCCTGTGAAAGCTGCTCCTGCCGCAGGTGCTTCGGTGCCCCATAGGTGGCACGTTTCCTAACAGTGAGGGTGACAGAGCCCTGGCACAGGCTGCCCAGAGAGGTTGTGGAGTCTCCTTCTCTGGAGATCTTTCAAACCCGCTTGGACGCCGCCCTGTGCTCGGGGTGACCCTGCGTGTGCAGGCGGGTTGGACTAGAGGACCTCTAGGTCCCTTCCAACCTTAAGCATTCTGTGATTCTGTGACCCGGTGGCTGAAGCACTGCCCTCRCGCCTCGGACTAAGGGATGCAGCTCTGCCCAATGTCTCGTGACACAGAGGCCCCGGCGTCGCTCCTGTTGGTAGCGGCTGGCACCGCCGAGTCGCCGTCTTCAGGAAATTCAGCAGCGTGCGGGAGATGGGAATTGTCTGATGCAGGGAGACCACAGGCCGAGCTAGCAGGAGACGGAATGGGGCAGCCCGGTGTTTCCCCTCACGTAGGACGTGGTTACCTTGGCAAAGGAGCAAAGGAAAGTTTGCCTTGTAGGTGGCAACATTGTGCTAAGTTTGAGCAGAGGTGTCTGCCAGCCCTTCCAGCTCCACTAACAGAGGAAAGCAGAAATAAATCCAAAAATTGTCTGCTTGGAATTAAAAGCCGAAAGAGCTATTAGACACGTTCACACTATTAACGTGCAGTAATAGGCAACACGCACTGGCATCTAGGCCTGTCTTCCTCCAACCAGCTCTACTGTGGACGTGCACCGGGGGCGACAGGCGTGAGGGGACAAGCCTGGGGCTGGGGACAGCACAGCACAGTCGCCCCCATGGAGCCCTCTGGTTTCAGCGGACCAAGGAGGGCGGGACTGGAATGCTCCCTCCTGGAGTGAGGGAGCGGCGCTGGGCTCCGGGTACAGCAGTGCTTGTGGGTAGGACGGCCCTGCACACTTGCTGTTGAGCAGATCATGAATGAATGAAAACAGCAGCAAAGCAAACAATCTCAGCTTAAGTATCACAGCTCCCTCAGTCTCCACAGTCTTCCAGTGTTCTGAAACACGCTCTCATCAGATGTAAAATAGGTTTCAGTTTCTACTGGGGGACCTCTCTTACTTTCAGAAACTTCTCCCGCTCGCAGAGTTCTGCAGCAGCCTGCGTACAGGTGACTCAAACATCAAACAATGGAAAATCAGCCCACATGGAATAATTTTCAGTAGTTTTTTTATGGATTTAATCATTTCTTATCACTCATTAAATGCCAAGCCTAAACAATTTCCCGAGTAGAAAAGGAGATGACCTGGTCACCTCAAGAGCTGCCTGTGTTAAGTTCCTGAAGGGAGCTTTGCTTTAACCCGGACACTTGAGCCTCTCTAACTRTGGCACTCGGTGACCTTCTGGGGGGCTTTAGGGAAGCTCTTCAGATGGGTCACGTGAGAGTTGTGGTTCCGCACAGTGGCCCACACTTCTGAGTGCTCGAGGAGAGTTTCCCTGCAAGTGCAAGGTGGGTTAGACGCCGAAGCTGTTGTAAGAGCTAGAATGCATTTCTTTTCAAACTCACTCCTTGGTAAACCTTAGCAGGGGCTTGCTTGAGGAAGACTTTTTCCTGCTGCCTTGTAGGTTTCTTTTTGATTGTGGAGACAGTATTTTACAGTTGGTCCTCCTATATTTGCGAGAGGGACCACGCAACTGCAAAAGGCAGAAAAGGCCTTTTTTTTCGCTGTATGCCCCAAACCTAGTTTCAAGGAAGATGCAGTCAACTAACTTGGCATCTGCATTATATTCCTCTCCTCATCACAGAGTTCTTTTGCAAAAATCACAACGAACTTTGTTTTCAAYAGTGTGGAGGGTTCTTCTGTCACAGAAGAATTAAGAAGGACCGAAAATGTTCATTTTTCTGAAGATCAGGCCTTTTCAGTCTGCAACTTCATTTCTGTGTCTGTAAATTGAGGCTGTAACGTTTATCCGCTTCTGTGAAGAGCTTCAAGATTCATACGCAGAAAGCACTACTAGTTGAGCACGGTCAAGAGCGGGTGCACAGCTTAAAAATGAAAACATAGAAATGCAGACAATCTCCAGGCATCCAAGCAGGAGAAAATGTTTGAAGAAATCCAAGGAAAGTTCATCCATCATTCTTCCTAGGAAGGGGGAAAAAAAAGTATTTCACCATTTTCTTCTCTTCTAATTGTGCTGCTCACTGTGGTGAAAATCAGGGGTAGCATGGTTTCTCTTATCAAAATTGATTCATTTTATGTGTTGTCTTATTTACTTGTTTTCTCCTTACCTTTAGACCTACCCACAGCCACAGACCAACATGAAGATGGAAAGAAGGAGTGCTACTACAACCTCAACGATGCTAATTTTTGCGACAACGTGCTTACATCCAACGTAACCAAACAAGAGTGCTGCTGCACGCTGGGCGCCGGCTGGGGCGATAACTGTGAAATCTTCCCATGCCCTGTCTTTGGAACTGGTAAGAGGAGGCCTTCTGTCCCTTCGTGCATTGGTGAAGCATTGAGTTTCTGTTGACACCAGGGTGCTTGGCCTCCAGGGAAGGCTTATTTGTTAAAGGCCACATTTTGTCACATTCAGTCCTAATTTACCCATGTGAAGCTTCTGCAGAGGCAAAGTCTCTACTCTCAAGGAATAGTTCACTCCTGGTGTGAACCTATTGGCTTCACTGCAGCTGCACCAGGCACACAAATGGCCAGGTAATGAACAGAGTTATCTCCATGTGATTAAAAAAAAAAACAAAACCAAAAAAATCCACTTTTTCCAAGGGCTATTAATAACATTTTAGACTTCTCCCAAAAGCTGGAAACCAAATTAAGTATTACAGTATTTTTGAGGCTTCATCTATCCCTTGTAATGTTTCTACACCGCTATGAATTACTCATATGTATTATGACATCAGTTTTACATTTTGCTACTTACTGAACAATGCAGTTAATCATGTTGTCTGCAGACCAGTGTATAACCTCTAAATACTAAATTAGAAAACTGCAACCATATGATATTTGTCACAAATATTGAAAACAGCATTTGAAGCATAAACAGCAATGGCTAAAATTCGAATCCAGCTGGAAGAAATCACRTAAGAGAGAACATGTGTAAACTTTCTGAGATTAAATACTGAAGATTACTTTCCACACAAATGTATCATCTTGTTTAGTTCCTGTGGGAACTACACTTCAGAATCAGTAAAACCATAATGAAATGCTTTAGGAAAGCTGTCTCTCTGCTTGGATAAGTTTCTGTGATTCTGTGTAGTCTCCAAGACACTTTRCATAATTTCTCCCTGTAATCCACACCATTTTCTCCTCTTGCAGTCAATTAGTGTTTTCCTGTACAAAGACTGAGGGGTTTTGTACCTCAGTTGGGTATGTCTAGATTGCAGCTCACAGAATAACTCAGAGAGGCCCAAGCTAGATTTAATTACAATAATCTGGCTGCTGGTATTGTTTTAACTGCAGGGCACCATTAAACTTGGTGCTGCCAAGAAGCAGGAGAAATTAGTTTGCATGGAGCTCTGTGATGYGGTGGGTTTTTCAAAGCTACTAGGGGGCAGGGGCAAGTGCAGGGGTTGTGTGCAGCTTTAGCTAAACGTGGCCATAACTGCTTGGTAGAGGTGAGTAGGGCAAAAGGTTGCCGCAGACTTTTCAAAGTAAACTGAAACATATATTATGTGAATAACTTCTTTTTTAAGCAACCTAATTTTTGTTTTCTCTCCCATTCCTAGCTGAATTTACCGATTTGTGTCCYGAAGGGAAAGGTTTCATCCTCGCTGGAGAATCATCTCATGGAGTTCTCTCTCAGAATTACAAAGGTCAGCACTGACTTGTATGATTATGTTTGATTATTTCACAAGTTCCAGTAGATGACTGGCCAGAAATGTGAGCCAGCAATGTAAACATACTCATTCAAATGCCATTAGGTGGCAAAACAGCATTGTGATGGGAAACTTTACTAAAAATCATCATATTTGATTACTAGAACATCAATTATATTGTGTCTATAATATTTCATTTTAATTTGGATCAAGTGTTGTATAGTGTAGGAGTGTTGAAGCACAAATCTCACATATACATCTCCATATGAAATACAAAGCATCTTAGATTTGTAGATCTGTTTTGGAAGTTGGAGAGAGAAAATATTCTGTTAAGCCTTAGATCTGCAAGTGAGAAGGAAAGTTAAAAACTGGTAAGAAAAACAGCAATGAAATTATCATGGTAAAACTTCATGAAATAATTACTCAACTAAAGACTGTCCAGGAAGGCAAGAGAGCAACAGAAAGAGTTTGTGGGTTTGGAGGGAGAGAGTTTGCTTTATGGAAAAGACAGGGAAAGTTAGAATAGTCATCCAGACTAATTTAGCCACTTGAATGGGCTACATGAGCCTTCTGGAGATGTCCCTCTGCCCACCAACCATAGAAGGAGTCTAGAACCAAATGTCACAGTGACTCCATGGCTGAGAATGAGGGTAGCGGGGGTCATCTCCATGCCCATCAGGCAATTTTACCCCTAAAAGAGTGGGAACGGTGTCACAGAGTCGCCCTTAAAGGACCTGATCTGTGTGGATTGTGTGGAATTGTGAATCCTGTGCAGCGCTGTAATTCAGGGATTGTTTCAGTGTGCTATTTATACAGCTAAGGCTTTTGCATACTCTTTTGGGCTATGCCGTGTGCAGAATATGTCCAAATGCATYTCAGACAGTATCTTCTTTGTTGCTATTGTACTGCCTCCGAGCTGGTAACGTTTCTAATTGCTGTAAATATTGAAGTGTGGAAATAGTTCATATCTGGAAGCATCTTCCACAAATCCTTGCTATAGTAAAACTTTTTTGTTTTGAGTTAAGTTTATTCTGTATCCTTAGAAATGGCACAAAAGACAGACACATAACTGGGCAAGCATTTCTAGGAACGTGGTCTTTCACTCTTACATTAACTCGTTAGATGCTTCCCATGTTTCTGGTATTTTTGTCCACAAGCTCCTGCTTGCAGGAGGAGCCCCAACTCCTGGCCCCCTTTTTTGTTTTTGAATTATCAGTCASAAGTGAATGTACTCAGCTAGCACATTCATAGTACTAGCTATTTGACTCTTAATACCCTCAGGCTCTCCCTTTTTTTTCCTCGGGACACATAGGATTTTCCATAGCAAGAAGAGGTCCAGACATGCAGCTACATGATATTTCTGATTAAGCCTTGCAGTCCTCTTGCTGCTAAACAATCCAGCTTAAAATAGTTCACGTTTAAAGACACTCAGTGGCTGGGAAAACGACTGTAAAAATAAATAGTTTTATAGCTTTTTCAGCTCTTCTGGAAAAGTAAGCAAATGAATAATTCACCTTTAAAACTGCTGGACAGATAAAAGTGACATTTGGGGGCTAAACTATGTGCTACCTGCAGGTAAATAGGGAATCAATCTATAAAAGACAATGGATTAACACAGTTATTGAAAGCAGAATTACGTACTTGGCAGTGTACCATTGTATTGCCATTTTTAGTACCAGCCTAGCTTCAGCAGACTATTATACAGAGACTGTGTCTAGAGAAATAAAAATGGGTAAAATAAATTTWAAAAAAGGAAATGGGTAAAAAGAAAAAAAGGAATTTCAACAGTAACAAATGCATAAATACAGGCTGGGGGGGGAAAAAAAAGGGCATATCTGCTGTGAAAAGGTGGGTAAAACCTGGCATATCTGCTGTATGAAACCTCCAGTTTCATTTGAAAATGAGAAGATTCTGTCAGCCATCCCTAGGTGCTGTGGTAGTTGCTGCCTTATATTTAGCAGCAGACAACTATGCCTTTATGGGGGAAGTCTCCACTGGAGTTTTCCGAGCAGGAACGTTTCTGCATGGAGTATGGGAGGTTTCTCCACAAAGCAAAGCAGAGCCAGCAAACTGAGCATGGAGAAGAGAGCAATTATAAAAGCCACAGGCATAAGTGCTTAGTTAGTTCCTTACTTAGACTCATGATGGGTGTCTGCTGCATAAAACAAACTATTTGGGAAAATAYGGTGCCTATTCTTCGTTTGTTTGCTCAAGAGAACAGTGTGGTATCAAGGGAAAGAAAGGAGAGCTGCAGACTCTCCCAGTGCCCCAGGCTTTGCCCTGTCCTGAGGGGCAGTTCAGTCACCGTGTGTGTTGCAGGAGTTGCTTTGCTGTGGGCATCCTGCTCCTGGGCCCTTGGTTTGAGAGGTCACTTGCCTAAATGGAGCAGTGTGCAGGGCTTATTGTGCCCTGCTTGCCTGCGGGCCCTAGTGAGACAGCAGTAACGTGGCCTTTAATGTTTTCCCTTCAGATGCTGATGAATGCCAGCTCTTCGGACAAGAAATCTGCAAGAATGGCTTCTGTTTGAACACGCAGCCAGGTTACGAGTGCTACTGCAAGCAGGGCACCTACTATGACCCTGTTAAGCTGCAGTGCTTCGGTAGGTTTATTTGAAGCGCTCTGGTCACCATAGCGGTATGCAGCTGGGCGAGAGGAGCCCGGCATGGCAGGATTCCCGGCAGGGCTGCGGCGCTCCCAGGAAGGGCCGCAGCTGGCGCTGCCAAGTCCCGCGGCAGCTTTTCCAGAGGCCCTGGGTCGCTTCCCTTCTCTCTTGCTTGGCTGGCACSAACCCCTGGCTGATGTTGGCCATGGCCTGCAGGGGCAGGGTTTGGCTTCGCTGCCTCTCTTGTCAGCAAATGGCTCCCAGGAGTTTGCATCCCAGGAGCAGCCTCTTGCACGTCCTCGAGTGCGGTCCGAGCTGCTCCCGCCCTGCCGAGGCCTGCACCGCCGCTTTCCTCTGCCACCTGCCATTTGGTCCTCTGTCCTTTGCGAGGGTGCAGGCAGTGACAGCTTGTATATTGTAGCCCATCTTGTACTGGGCATCTGGGAGCTCATCTGTTGTGAGTGTGTAATACATCAAATTAACGGCACTTTGGGTTTTTTCAAGGCCACTTATTTTCCACAAGGAGTTGATAAGCAGTGTGGAGTCCCAGTTGAGGGCATGGCTAAGCATGTAGCTTTTAGTCTTGCAGAACCTTGTACTCCTCTGGTTATGCTATTCACATGAAAATKATTCATAACTGTGACCCTGGCTTTTGCTGTATAAGCAGAAAACTGTGTAGAATTTGCAGAATAACATAATGAAAGGAAGTAATTTTTGAAACCGTAAGAGGAGAGCCTTTCACCTTGGGTTTCTGAGGTTGTTTTTTACAAAGGTATTTTCTTTGCTGATTTAATGTAATTTATTTTAAGAAAAAATGGCCTGCTCTTCCTTTCAGGCTAAATTTCTTCTTTTCCTCTCCAAGGCAAGCTGAGGAATGGAGCTGCTGTGGCTAGATAAGCTGTTCCCAACATGTGAGCTTGTTGGGAGGAGCTTCAGGGAGTGTGCCCACCTCTAATGCCTGCCCTGCTCTGCCCTGCTCACGGGGTGGCCGTGTGGGAACTCACTGTGGCTGTGCCGGACAGAGGGCTCCCCTRGCACTCCTGCCTTGGGCTGCGAACGCCAGCGGACACACACTGTTCTCCCTGGCACTCAGGGATTTGTGGTCAGCATCCTGCTGAGCTCTCTGTCCTTCTCCACGGGCAGGATTTTGCTGCCAGCAACTGGAACGTGTCATTAGAAGGGACATGCAGACACGCAGGGAAATCTGCTCCTACTATAGGAATAAACACAGGTTAACACAGCATGCTTTGTGCTGGCTCTCTCCTTGATAACGTTTCCTTCCATTCTAAAGATACAGACGAGTGCCAGGACCCAAACAGCTGCATTGATGGCCAGTGCATTAACACGGAAGGATCGTACAACTGTTTCTGCACGCACCCCATGGTCCTGGATGCAACAGAGAAGCGGTGCATCAGACCAGCAGACTCGCATGGTACGGTCCATTCCAGGTGTTGCCAGGCTGAGTCCCCCTCTGCAAGGGCCTGCTGACAGACCCCTGCTTAGAGGGGCTTGTTATTGGATGGCTCTGCTCTCTCTTCACTGGGAGGGTCCTGGGGGGAAGCGTTTGGGCCATCACCATCTGTGAATCCAGGCAGCCTCGTGGTGCAGGGCTCCGCAGGCTTCTGTCCTGCGGGCGCACGCCGGAGGCTGCTCGGTGCTCAGTGAGAGGGGTCTGGGTGTTTGCAGCACCCTGGGCAGCAGCTCTGCATCTCCTCCCACCCTGCGGGGAACCAGGCACTGCCTGCCCAGCGTCTCCCTGCGGCTGGGGTCCGGCTGTGGGCTGGCTCTGGAGATTCAGTCCAGAGAGAGTGAGCAACCGCACGCTTCCTTCTGCCAAGGGCAGGAAGAGCAGGAACAGGAACAACAGGAGTGTAAAAGGAAACAGCAAAAATTGTATTGGTGCTGCTCTTGCAGTAATTCTGAGGGTGCGCTGCACTCACATTTGAAGCTGTGGGCTGCAGCATCACTGTTTAAATGAAAGTCTTATCTTTCTTTTAATTTCAGGAGATACTGATGTCAGGAGAATAAAAAGATATTCTGAGATTCTTAGAAACATCTCAAAAATCCAGAGTACTCGGCAGAGCTGCAGCTTTGCCACTGCACACTTGTCCATACTACACAAAAATTTGAAGGAAGTTCTAGAGTGTTTGGTTCATATTGGCATCCAGTAGCCAAGACCTCTGGTCCCGGCAACTCTCTATGAATAGTTTTTCTAAAATACTGTGAAAGAAAGCAGGAACACAGACTGAATGCTTGCTTTACTTGGTATTATGAGGACAGTGTTTCTGAGGTGCATCCAATGTGGTCCATCCTCTTGCCTGAAACTCTGAAAGAACCACAGTAATTTCACTGTTCAAACTTGAGTTAAACAAAACAGGAGCAGGACTGTCCTTTGGTCTCACCTAGGAAGTGAAGAGGATGCAAGGGCCCAAAGGTGTTTTCCTGCATCCTTGAGGCAATCATGTCGCCCAGCACAAAGTGCTCCTGCCTTCCATCACTGCCGGCACAGCTCTCCCTAAAGCAGAGCAGGACATGAATAGATGTAGGCAGACAAAACAGAATCTTGGTTTGTGACAACACTTATTTCCCATTCTACACTGGAACAAAGTCAAAACCTGTAGACGTTTTTACAAAACAGTTGTGTTGAGATGTCCACCTTCCAAGCAAAAGATTAAGTTTTCAGTCTCTCGCTGCTGGTCAGTAGTGATCAGAGATTTCTCACACTGGGAAATGTTCCTGCTGAGAACTTTTTCAGGCCGAGCGCGCCTGTGAAATGCTCCAGCTTTGACTCAAAGGCGTGTTTTTTGTTAACATTCCTAAGAATGTGTCAGTGGTTCCCAGCAGTATTCCCTCTGTGACAGTAACTGCAAGGGGCTGACCAGGGATGAGGACAGCAGATAAACAATCTGCTCCTCCTCCGACSAGCCTCCGGCTGTTCTCAGCTCAGGGGGTTCCTGAGCCTCATGCAGTTGGTCTGTTCTGGTAATGGATCTCTCCTCCGAGTATTTGTCCAGTCTCCATTTAAGTCCCTGTAAAACTTTTGTTCAGCTCTGCTCTAGCAATAAATGTCCTTTCTGATGTCAGTCAGAAAATGTCAGAAAATGAAAATGGCATGTCTGATGTTAGAAAATGGAAATGCTATGTTTTAAAGGTTCATTTCATAAAACTATTTTTTGTGGCAGTTCCGTTAACTTCGGTGAAAGCAGAGCTGCATCAGTGTTAAGCATTCAGCAGCAGCCASTGATGTACAGGATGTTAATTCTTGGGTGCTCAAGCCAGACTGCTTTGAGAAGGCCTTACAGTGCCAGTGCAAAATGAGAACCTGTCCAGGTTCCTGCAGAGCTGAGGCCCCGGGGTGTGAGCCACCTCATGCTTTGAAAAATGTACTGAGTCTGACCAGGTTTGCTTTCATGAGAAGTGTCGTTATGCTACTTCTTAACCTGAGTTCAGGTAATTCTGCATTATCCCACYCTTTTAAGTAACCCTGCTGCAATGATGAGGCAATGTTTTCTTCTCTGACAGAACAAACCGAAGAAACCGAAGTCTACCAGGACCTTTGCTGGCAGCATCTGAGTGATGATTTTGTTTGTAGTCGGCCTCTGGTTGGAAAACAGACCACGTACACCGAGTGCTGTTGCTTGTACGGCGAAGCCTGGGGCATGCAGTGTGCTCTGTGCCCGATGAAGGAGTCAGGTAAGGAAGTGCCCGCCCGGGCGCCTGCCAGCAGCTCGGAAATGCTTAATCCTTTTAATGCCTTGCAGCTGCACTGGGGCTAATAATGTAAGAAAGAACAAAAGAAACCAGCCCTTCAAGAACTAATGGCAATTGTTCTCATGAATGAAGGGGAAATCAGTGCAGTCCAGATTTTGGAAATGTAGATGTGTTTAATTTTTGGCACCTGCTGGACCTGGCAGCTTCAGCTGGAACTGTTAGTGGTAGGAGGGCATTTTAAAGGTAGCAGAGTTCCTCAGGGTTCCTGAGTAAAAACCATCTCTGGAAATGCCCACATACTTCATGTCTGTTTTTGTGTGTGCACACACAACACATGACCTGCTRCATACAWGTTCCAGATTTTTGKTGCCAGCTTCATATATACAAATGTATTTTCATGGTAAAGCTCTGCCAGGCTAACTGCAAACAGGCATGTTTGCATGAACAGGATCTGCTGCTAAGGATGTGCTCTAGAATCATTAGACSTGTCAGAGAATGAGTTGTTACTCTATGATTATGTGCTCAAATATGATGAAATACATATATGTAAGGCAGATAAGGAAAATGGMGTACCAGTATGGACAGAGGGAAATGCGTGTTTCCAAGGACTATAACTTGATGTTAAAGAATATTCTGGAGCACCAGCTAACAAACRGACATATTTTTAAAAGGATATATTGTGTTATAGTGCTTAGAAATACACGTTGTTCCAAGAAGATGTTTGGGTAGAATCTTTTTTTTTCTCGCAGTAACTAGAAAAGCTAAATGGAGAGAAATGTGGCCCTGGACAGTCTAGGAGAAGAAACCAGTGAAAGGGGCAGAGCTTTCAGTCATGCTGTGCCTGACATGATATGTCACTATCTTTAACAGCCCTGGTACGTGCAGTTTGGTACTATAATAACTCATGTGCAACTTCTTCCCCCTACCTGGTTACATTATTTCAAGGCCACGTTTGGATGTAGTTTTATTACTGTTAAATGGCTTTTTAGCAGAATGGCTTTCCACATAGGAATAATTTGCTGTATCACTGAATTTATTCTGATAACTTGCTTGCTTGGATCCTTGCTTGGRTTCGTATTACTCTTAGCTATATTCTTATAGTTTAAGCAGTGCATGTCATGCCTGTGGCAAGAACCTTAGCGTTAGAACTACCTAGTGATGCTCAGCTAGGCATTAATGTAGCCATGTCTGTGTCTGCTTGGGTTTTATGTTTAATTTGGAATTTGCTGCAAGGCCCTTGAAGCTGCTCACATACATCTTTGCTTGTGTGAGTGTGCTTTGGAAGGGCAGCAAGTGAAAAGGCCCTGATTTTGATGATGTTGGCTGCAGTAACTGCTGGTTGATGCTTCCCCCAGAAAAAAAATGAGGAAGGAAAAACAGAGCATGACAACAGCTTGATTTATAAGATGTGGGAATCTCTGAAACATCTTTTTTCAAAGCAGATCTTGCAGGAGGAGGTTTTCAGGCACGGAATTACTTCACCAGCTAAAATAATAATTGACATGGAAGGAAACAGTGAAAATACAAGGCAATAGCTAATAGCAAGAATTGCTGCTATGACCTGCAGTTCCTTGGATGGAAGGGCAGAGCAGAGCACAGGGGTGTGTTAGTTCATTACTTGGTGCTGGTGAGAATGAGCTGGAAAACCTGCCTTACAAGGTGGGGTGAAAAATGTCAAACCTACGTGCAGAGCAAAAGCTGCACATGTTGCCCTCTATAACAACATCATGGAGGGCTCAACGGACAGAGAAAATGAGCATTTAAAGTAAACAACGGTTCTGGTGTAAGAACAAATGGGAACAAATTCAGCCTGAGCAACTTTAGACTTGCAATTAGATGGTTTCTGGTCGTGAGAGCTAGAGGATTCTGGAGGAGCAATCCCACAGCAACAGTGGGATGCCAAGTGCAGCTAGCGCTATGAAAGAGCTTGAGCAGTTCAAGAAATAAATGAGATCAATGTTCCTGATGGAGAACATGATCCTACATGCACTTGAATGATTCTCTAACACAGCTGAAGGGCATTTATGTTGAATAATAAAAGCTTTTCTCCTCTGGATTTAAGCTCGTTTGTATGTGGGGTTTGCACGGAAGGAACAGGTAGACTATCTGCTTTAAATGAAACTGAACCAGTGTGGGGAGTATGGAACATAGAGAGTTAAAAGGAGCAAAAGCTTCTAGTATCCTCAGTATGTCAGCATAAAAGYATCCGAGCTTAGATTTCTTCATGTAGGTTGTATCTGCTTTGTGCACTTGCACAAAACAGGAAACCACCTTCTGCTTTCAGGAACAGTTACCAAGAAAAATTTCAAGCTGACTGAACTGAATCAATGATTCATTTGACGTGTCCTGGGTTTGCAGCACTCGCAGTGCTATCATTGGCTGCAGAGAGCACTTTCACACCTCGGGGCCAGCAGGTCACAGGTTCAAGTCCTGGCTGGGGAACCTGGAGTTTCTCCATTTTCAAATACTTGTGTATTGTGTTGGCCAGATCTACTCCTGAAGGTGTTTGCTTATACCCCAAGCTAGGGACATACTGAGGAGTTGTAACACAAGTTCAAGAGGGCCTGGGGACACAAAAAGCATCATCACTGGAGGACTTTCTCCATGAAATGGGTTGGATTATAGAAGGGACCGTTCGCTGCTCTGTGGTTTCCTTTCATGCTATTTATACTGCTTTTGTATTTGAAGATATAGGTGCTGCCTTAGAAGGAAACAGATGACTGCAATTATCGCRAAGGATTTGTTTTCAAATCCTTTCTAAAACAAATCCTTGTTTTAATAGAAATAACTCCTATCTTTTGTGGCCCACCTTTTCTTGAAGGAGTACTTCCATTTTTCACAGCAAAGTTTAAATCTCTTGGAATAGTATCCAGCATAAAATCCCTTGAAACATAGGCAGTTTATGTAAGTATGTGTTGATCCATGCTCAAAAAAAAAATCCAATTATTCATTGATGTAAAAATTCATTTTATGTAGTTGCTGCTATTTCTGAAAGGTAATGGTAATTCTGCTTTTCTGTGCTTGATCAAACAAATTTCACTGAAAGTAACACTAAACAATCAGAGTCTGAGAAAAAAAAGTAAGTAGCACTTAATAAAGTAACAGCAATACCTTTATATTTGTAAAGCTGGTAAGTCTTTTAGTGACATCAAGGAATAAACTCAAAATATTAGTTCAAAATCCTGATCCAAACACTTAATGCAGATACAACTGCAGTGATGAACATGACGTATGGAGCCTGTAAAAACACCCTTTTGCAGGGTAGGCAAATCATGGGCAGACTGATTTCAAGTGCAAGGTTCTGCTGTTATGATCTTACACTTGCAACGATACTCCAGGTAGAGGCTTTCATGGATTGCAGCCACTCCCCAAATGTGAACTGCAGAAATGCCTTCTTTCTGTGATTCTTGTGATGTTAAGCTTTATTAGCCCACAGAACTGTTAGTAATTAATTATCTTATAAAAGCTTCTGTGTTATTTGCATTCCAAAGTGTCTTTTGCAATCTATAATAATTAAGAGACTGAGGAAAACTGGATAGTTTTATTTTTGTTAGCAAAATATCTTCTGTTCACTGCACCGCCCTATAAATAAGCCTCTCAGCCAACCTGCCTTCAGACATTTTGCTTTCTTGGTCAATAATTGTTGCGATCTGGAGCCCCAACTGTCTACATATGGAATCAATACTCTAGTAACTGGCAGCAGGACAGGCTCCGATGGGTTCAGCAGCTGAGTCAAAGCATCCATGCCAGAAAATGGAGCAATTGGCCAAGGCTGAAATAAAATCTGTAAATCTAAAATTAGGCCTGTAAGGCCATATCTCCCTCATGATAACTGTAGCATGTAACACCTTAAGTAAAAACCAGTTGAACCTCCAGGAGCTCCAGGGGTACTGTTACACAGCMCACCAAATCTGAAGGGATGAGGTAGGAGATATAAAATGGTGTGCGGTGATCTGTGTTGCTACAGGAAAGCTCCATCTCTGCATTTGCAAAATATTCTCCAGAAAGCTGCCCTGGCGTCTGTCACTACAGCGAGTACCATCTCTGCTTGAGTAAACAGCCGAGGATGCAGGAAGGTGGAATTCTGCCCTCCTGAACCAAAACTGTGCCGGGGGAGGCTTTCTCCCTCTCTTTCTGTGGGTAGCTGCAGGGAGGCATTTTGAGGTGAAAAGGGAGAGGTTGGGGGATAAAGGTAAGCCTGGGTTCTACAATTTTAGTGTGGGTGTTTCATTAACTGTTTACTGAAGATGGGAGTACATTACTCTGTAGGTACCTAGGAACTCCCCAATGGTCCTGAGATAATGTCATGAGCACCTTCTTAAGCACCTGTAAAGGACATTGGTGTGTCCTTATTTATGTAACATTGTTCATATATYTTACTCTGTTATTTCAAGTTTTAAGCTAGAATAGTTTGTGGAGATACTTTATGTTTCTGTGACCTGCAGGAAGAATGACAGTAGAACTGCCAGATAGTAGAACTGCCATCAACAGATACTACAGGGGATGTTCTGTGTGACGAGAAGTCACATCAAAAACTACTGAAGACTCCTGCTTCACTTGGATCTTCTCCTTATCTGCGYCTTGGCATTTACCTTTATAGTAAGCACAGCCTCAGGGCAACAGCTGTGGGTAGTGGGTACCGTAAGCCATCAAAGAGAAATAAGCACCCTAMGGGGTAGATTCCAAGCTATCCCCCAAGCTATTATGGATATCTGCTTTAGCATGATACGAAAGCTGTCCTAGAAGCAGTTAAACCGTTCCATGGACTGAAGAGAAACACAGGATGATTAGCTCAGGTGAAACCCCCTGGAGATGCCTATAGATGTGTGATGCATTTTACCCTTTCAGGCAGAATACGTTTTTTGGATTGCGTTTTGCTGCAGGGAATTTTCATTACGCTTTAGTTCTGGGCCGAGTTTCCAGACCATGAGAACTCAGCGTTCTTTCTGAGGAGCGCTGGTGTKTGTGTGAAGGATGAGCTC